TCATGGTTGGTTTCGCCCACCTAGTCCACATATGTGCTTTGACTCCAAGGACAGTGATTACCAGTGAGGGTACAAGTGCACTGAAACTGAGCCATTCGCACACACAATCATGAGCATGCACACAAACATATACATAGTATAGCCTACAGATTCAGCTGTGCTCTTAGCTCACCGTCCTTCTCCAATGACATCATACTTTGACAATGCCACCATTCATACAGATTGCTTACAAAACCTGGAGTTAGACTCCTATTGTGCGTGCTGCTCCTCCTCACAACAAGCGGTATACCCAGAGGTGCTCCCCTACTACGATGGAGGAAAATGAATGGAACACGTAACAGGGTTACCATGTACGCTAATGGTTTAACTGCTTACAAATGACTTCATACTGAGCTAATCACTCAATCAATCACCATGTAGCAGAGCTGAAAACTGACAAATCTGTGGCTGCTTCACAAGTTTTCTTTTCTTGGAATTTCTGAAAAGTATAAGCATGCAACATTCTAATTTTGCACTTGTTTGCTGTTCATGGCAAAACTTGATCTTTAAGTCTATTAACCCAAATGCCTGATGCAATTCTGTAACTATACTGAAACATAAGAACAGTAAGGGTTGTGTAAAAAGCTACAGAAACACTTTGATTATTGGTCCTCCTGTGTCCTATGAAATGTTTCTTTAAGAGGCGCACTGTTTTTTTCCCTCCTCAAGTAAAAAGGAGTACATTTAGAGCATGCCAGGAATTATGTCATCCACCCATCTAGTGCCAGCTCCACAGCCAAGTGAGCTGCAGTGGAGGAACATATAGTATTGTTTACCTCATAAAAAACTCAGCACCTAGCCCGATGCTTAGTGACAAATTTATTGTCCTTAGTAACAATGTAAACAATAGATAATTGGGAGATAATAAATAACACATTTTCATACACTGGCCCCTCTGTCTGAAATTAGCAGGCGAGCGGGATGTGTGGAAAGCATGGAGCTCATTTAAAAGGGACAAAACAACAATGTTGAATTCCACCACTGTGAAAAGGGTCGCACTGACATGAGCTGAGTCATGCCCCATAGTTGGCACTGGCAGATGTTATTTAGAACCAGCTTGATAAGGGCTTGTTTGGGCTTCCCTTAAAGCAGATGAGAAATGATAGTGAATGTCTTTCATCATACAAACAAAGATATCAAGACATCTGAGCAGGACAGAAAGGTTTTCAAAGGAGAATACAATGCACGTGTGCACATGTGTGTTTATGTAGTACTGTATGTGTATCTCCACGTCAGGACTGGAAGAAGTGAATTACATTCACTGTCAGCCGTTTGTGAACATTACAACAGTGCAATATAATAAAGAATTACGTCATTATTGGTTAAGGTTAGCATTATTGTAACTCTGCATTGGTTAAGAACGGTTGCATCTACCTTAATTAATCACTGGTTTAATGCAGCACGCAGCGAGCATGAGTGACTCAAATCAAAAACATTTATGATGTGGAAGTGCACACTGGGTCTGCATAACAGGCTAAATGCTAACACGTTCATGGTTCAGCCTCCAGCAGTAACCTTTGCATTTACTGCTACCTTCAGGAACTGCTACCTTCAGTGAGGACTGCTGTTTTTGACAATAACCTCTGTCACAGTTGTGACTGCAGAATGTTCATTCAGCTTAAAGTTCAAACTTTGAGAAGCACAGTGGGACAAGAGAGGTTGAGTGGACTGGTTATATTACACTCAAGCAAAGAAGTTGAACATAGAGCTGAATGTGGAGGACTCAAGGCTCACAGCATGAAGATCAGACAGGGGAGTACAACAGTAAACTCAATTATGGTTGTAACCCTCTCTCCAGAGGAAGGAGCATTGTTAGGTAACGTAGCATTATGTGTGTGTGTGTGTGTGTGTGTGTGTGTGTGTGTGTGCTGTGCAGCTCTTTTTGCTTTAACATGTGTGTTTGCATGCGCTGTGGAATTTCTATTGTTTATATGTCTGTATTGTCTGCCTTGCTGATGTTTTATTCTGCTACTAATTTTATAACAAGTGGCAGGTTATTTAACTTCTGTAGCCTAATATTGCTTGTTGCACACACCATGATGTCCTTAGAGCTTTTTTTTGTATCTATTGTTGGTCATTTTTGTTTAATTGACTGAGTTTTGTCCTCTTTTCTGGTTAACTCTAGTAAGGCTACACTGAGGAAGGCAGTTGTGAAATTGATAATTAGTGGTATGCACAGGCTGAAAAGTGCCGCCTATATTATTTGTTTGCATATGTTGACAATGTTAATGCACTTTATTTTGTATGTGTTCTTTAATTTAATAGTTCTATCATATAAAATAATGCATTTTTTCCTTTACCCTCCCTCTGCCTTTATCTTAGTACATTTTGAGTAATTTTACTTTTACTATAATACTCTTTCTGCTGCATGTATATTTATCAATGTGTTCTGTGCTTGTGTTTACATCTAATTTGTCACTGACCTGACTGTCAGTATGTGTATGAATGTCTGTGGCTGTCTAACTATGTGACACCGTGTGAGGATGATGACACAGAGTTGAAGCAGTCAGTGTGTGTGTGTGTGTGTGTGTGCGACTGTTCTCGAGGCCCTGTGGAGAACTGGCTTTGAGCATTGATGTAATGCTTTGGCCGGCGTGCTGTGGAACTTGGCCTCGTCTCTGCACCGTTTCCTCTACGCTGCGAGGGTCAACTATCCCACAACCTCCAGCACACAACACGCACCCTTCTATTCCCCAGACCACAACAGAGCAGAACACAACCACACCCGGCACCATGAGCACCCAGTCCTTCACAAGAAGAAAAACACTTGAACCAAAACTAATAAAACACTCCAATCTCAGCAACACTCCCAGACAACAAGCTAAAAGCAATAAGGGAAAACATACAAGACAGTTACTACACCATCGGGCTTTGCTGTACCACTTAAACGATGGCACTTAAGGAGAAAATCAGAGATAGAAGAGAACAAAGATGGGCACTGATGCAGATACAGGCTTTGGCCCAGAGAGCACAAACAGAAAGCTTAGAGCGAGATATGAGTCCCCAAGGGGCCACAGCAGTCCTTCGGCTCATTAACTATTTACACCAGAGACAGGCCTCCCTGCTGCTCTGGCCCACCACAAAATCAATTAGCCTTCATTAGCCCAGGCTCTGGGCATTCTTTCTTTGGCAGGGGAGGGTTAATCCTGCTACCGAGGCCTACCACAAAATATCAAACCATCACAAGCACACACATATGGGCGTGATGTACAAATACAGAGGGGCAAAGGGAACTAGGCTGAGCAGAAGTCCTTTCATGTCACTCACAAAGAATTCTTCCAGTTTATCACTCTCGCTCACTGTTTGGTGTCTCAGAATATCAATACGGTCTCTCGCCTTTCAACTCCCCTGCTTACTCTGCCTGTCTATCTATTTCCTTCACGTCTATCAAAGTCCCACTCAATCCCCTTCTCCTCTCTCACAATGTAAACGCTGAGCAGAAAGAGTGCATCCAGGTCCGTGCCTCGGGGGTGTGGGGTTACAGTGCGGAGATTTCCCATTGGCGGAAAGTCAACATGGTCGGGGTAATGCGATTAGAGCCGGATTGAGAACGTCGCAAGGGACACATGGGCCTGATCATGGCCCAGTTATCCGATAGCGAGGCCGTATTTATCGACCTGGGCCAGGCGAGGATATTACAGACATTAGAGACCCCGTCTATGCTTATGAAACCCTCGCTGGAGATTGCACCCTGATAACACAATTAGTCTCTCACTTTCTGTCCACAATCATGGAATTCCATCAGATGCATTCAGACATCAGGGATCAGAATCTCAATTGATCCACATTTGGTTGCCTGTGCTTTGTGCCTGAATGGCCAGCTAACCAGAAAGTTGCATGGTCGAGGGGCCTGTAGCCATTTAGTGACTGCATATGTTTATGGGAGGCCTAACAGAGCATTTACAATTCAATTACATAGATAGGGGGAGAGAAAAAAAGAGTAAGATGTGTCTGGATGACGGCCAGAGGAGAGATAAGCCTAATACACTAATATTGTGTTACCCCCAGCGTGTTACCATAGGAACAGTTGAGGAGATTCAAAAGACTACAAAGACGATCAATCTTGAGAGAGCAGGAAGAAGAGGGAGAATTAAATGCCCTGGGAATGCTCCCGCTCTCCTCTATCAGAGCAATAACTCTTCTAATGACCTCTGCTACCTTCTCTCTCTCTCTCTCTACAAGATGTGTCTCTCCAGCACACTCAGCTATCAGTGAACCTTTCCAAACATAAAGAGCAGCCAATGGTTTGTGTTTTTTTTTTGATATCCAAGTCATGACACTTGGTCTTATTTATATGGAGCCTCTAACATTTTCAGAGTTATTTATTTTGAAAACAAAGATTGGCTGGTGGTCATGTTGCTACAGTATTTATCAATTTGTATCACCTAGTGTAACTTTTCATCCATTTGACATTAATCAAAGGTATACTGTCATTCACTGGCATTAGTACTACCAATACTAACGTGCAAAGTCAGACTGAGTGGAAGGTTTCTCTTCAGCTTTTTCATCTTCCAGTCTTCTATACTTATTTAACTTTAAAAACGTCTCCTTTCTGTCTCTCTCCACTCGCAGCTACGTCTCATTCCCACTGCTCTAACTGCCTGCTTTGTGAAGGATGAGGTCATTTGATTTTTTCCCTGCTGTGTTAAACTAGTGCTAACAAGTTGCAGGACCTACAGAACATGTTCTGTACATTAAGATATACATCAGGCAGTTGGTGGGCAGCCCAGCCACAACCACATAAAGGGCCCTTTATTCCAGCCAGAGTCTCCAGTGCTGCACTGGCAGGTTCAGACACAGCTTTGATTACACACCAAATGATGAAATCCACACAGACCTAAGAGCACAGCTTTGCTGGCACAGCCCAGTGGAAAAGAAAGGTTGCAACACTTTGAGTCTGCGCACGTGTATGTGTGTGCATAAATGTGTATGTATTCATGTGAATACATGCATATACTCACCAGTTTGGCTTCTGAGTGCATGGAGGGAATGTGAGCGGAAGAGCAAGAGCTGCTGTGGGTGGGTCCTTGCATACCCATCATATTGGAACCCATGGACATTTGTCTCTCCATCTGAAGATTACAACACCAAGATAACATACTTAGCCCAGGCCTCATCATACTCACAAGCAACATATTATTCCCATACAACAAAACTTTTTCATACAAGAGAAATCAATGAAAACTGTTTATTTCGCTGTGATCTACGTTATTTATGGAGATTTTATGTCTTAACAAGACTATCTCACTGCTTTCACAAAAGAAGCTTTAGCATTTAAAAGTGTGAGACTCTTCTGTACAGTAGGGTATGGTGAGTGAGTGAGATGAGAGAGCATGAGAGCCTGATTTTACATGACAAGCTGCCCTGTGCACAGCTCTGTGTGATGATAACTGGAGCTGACCCAAAACAGGAAGCCAGCACGGAGGGACTTAACACAGGAAGCCAGTGCAACAGGGGTGTGTGTGTTTCTGATAATAGTGCGGTGAGTGTGAGGACTTCAGACTAGCACATCAGACCCCCGCCCCTCTTGGTGTAGAATGTGTTAATAAGGTGAACGAGATGTGGGTAGGTTTGCATTATATATATGACTGTATTAATATGTGAGTATGGATACCGCCCTGGTCAGTGTATGCATGTGTGACAACTGAGACCTAAATGTGAGAGAATCCGCTGGGTAAGAGTAGAGGTCAGCAGCAGAGGGAGATGATGTGAGTAGTGTGAACCGCAACGAGCTGTATATGAACGAAAGAAGAAACCTTTGTGTGAGTGTCTGCATGCATACGTGTGTGAACTGCTGTGGCCTCCCAGCTGCTGAACTCTGGTTGGTGTGGTGGTCTCCATGGGGAATGGCCCCTCTCCACCCCCCCTTTGCCTGACCCCAGCCCCCTCCTCATCCACAGAGACTGAAGCCTAGAACCTGACACACAGCCTTAATTGCACTAAGTGTGTTTTGTGTAAAAATATCACCCAAACCTGCACCCCTTTCCTGAACCGTCAATCTTCCCTAAAATCGCTTAGCTTTTAATTTAATAAACATGGGAGGCTTTTTTTCCCATACCATAAACACAGGCTGTCTTATGTTACAATGAGAACACATGTTGTATCATAAGAATCCTGATATGAGGAGCTTTTTCTAGGTTGTTATTATTCCCTGCTTTCCATTGTGGGTCCTCTAAATCTTTTTTGGCTTAATTACAATAAAGTCTAAAGGTAGAATCCTTCATTTCTATAGGAGATGACCTCTTTATAAACTGTGGTATCTCATTTTAATGGTGACAAAACATCCTAAACTGCAAACCTACATAGTTTGAATGTAAACTGTCTTCACATGTGAGTGAGTGACTTTGCCCCTGCATGTGTGAGTGCACTCGTGAGTGAATGTGCTCTGTGCTCTCCGTTGTTGTACTCACAGGCATCAGCACAGCAGAGGAGCCAGGCATGGTAGGGTCTGGCAGAGTTCCAGGCATGGAGGCTGGCAGAGGCTGTCTCTGTCTGTTTCGTAGGTGCAGCAATGAGGACAGAGAGCCGGGGACAGGCCTGTGAAGACACACACAGACGTTGAGAGGACCTCAGGTTTTGCATATGATTATTCTTTGCTTTATCACATAACAACATCAGCTACCACCAAAACCACCAACGGTTTATATACACAAACAAATCATTCACAGGCGGGTTTAAAACTGTTTAGAAATGTGGTAGAATGGAAAAGCATGAAGATTGATTCTTGACCTCGAAAATAGCAGTTTGACAAAAAAACCTAAACAAAAATGATAATAATCGATATAATGGGTAATGTTATGTAAAATGTAAGTACATGTAAAAAATAAATGTACTTAATAAATACTAATAAATCTGTGTTATATTGATTCAAGCATTGATTATCTGTATTCACTGGAGGCATTATAATTGTTGACAAATACATTAATAATATCTTACATCTGCTGACAACTACAGTACGCTGTGTTACAAACTCTTCATTTTGTGTTTAGCTTCTGCTTGTAAATGCTAAAGGAGGGTTGGGGAGGGGGGTTAAAATAAAGTGTTGCCATATTTATTTCTATGTTATGTTATTAAAACCAAGTTTAACAGAAGTTGGCAAAGTGCTGAAACAATTGAATGGAAACAAATGTGTTATTTATGAAATTAATCAAAAACACCAAGACAACACAAGATAAAAGGAGAAACCCATATAACAGGAAACTAAATGGGATAATAGATATCACATAAAAGGGATTAATGACTTCAGTCACCTTTACAGAACCAAAGAGCTATTGATTATCAATAAAAAAAAAACAATAAAAGAAGAAGTATCAATTCTGTCAGAAATGTCTTTTTGACTTTTATTGGAACAACTGCCTCAAGTTGTGATGGTCATACTGGACTTTGTTTATGATGGACCTGATGCTCCACGCAGGAGTTGCAGCACCACGATTGGAGGAGAGACTATCAACAAAGAGCTGAGAAGAACCTGTGGACTATAGCAGTTCCACTATATGACATCACTAAAGTAAACTGCTCTTTCATCTTATAAATAATGTCACACATTTATCCATTTCACATCTGTGCTACTTCAGAGCAAATGTTTTCCCCAGCTTCTTTCGTTTTTATTTTCCACTTGTTTATGCAGCAAGAAAGTCACAATGGAGGAAAAAAAAAGAGCGTGCGGCTGTTCATTCATGCTGCAGTTGAAAGTTGAGGCATCTTGGGAGTTTTTGGATGCACTTTAAACAAGCACACTTCATGTAGTACAATGGATGAATAACGACGATGGTGATGATGAATGAATAATGTTTGTCACAACAACCGCATGAGATGTGCATTATGAGAATCACATTTAGAAGCTGCTACAGCAGTGGAAGGCCTGTGGGGAAAAATCCTCCATGGTAACCACAAAAGTGTGTGCGGACCAACAGGCCTATCCACACTCACGGCCACATCAATAAATCACACATATAGATGAGGCCTGGGCTAAGCCTAAACTACTGACAACAGTCATGTCACAGTCACTGGCTCAGGGCTGCAGCCATCCAAACAACCAGACCACTCCATCTGCACGCAGTGACATCATTTATACAACTGCCACCAAATCCCTGCCTGTAAGAACACTGATTCCCAGCTGCAGGGTGCAGCCACACTCACATGCATACAGTAACTATTCAGTAAAGCCTAAAAAACAGCAATCACCACTTGATTCTTAAATAACCTGTTTAAGGAAAATCAATAATTCTCTAGTTATCAGTATCATCAGGATGAATGGCAGTCAATAGAGCTCCATTTCCTTGAGCATTTAGGAATTAGTACAAACAAGAAGCCTTTAGGTTAGCTGTGTTCAATGGGTTAATGTAATCAATTGACCACATCATAGCCTGATTTACCGTAACAGTGAGTAGTGACGGAGTGATGGCCAAATTTAGGGGGGCCAGGGCAGGGGGGGGGGTGTACCAGACCAAATGCTCCCCCACCTGAATAAATACTTGTATTTTTCCAGACCTAAATATGTGCATTTACGCTCCAGACATTTTAGATTGCTCCACACACACAGGACCATTACCATCCTGACTGTGTGTCATTCCTGTCTAACATCCCAATTTATCACAATCACACTCATTTAACAGCACGTATGACATCTGAGCAACACCGCGAATCCAAACATTTCCACATGGGAAAAGTCATGAAAGTACAATGAGGTATGCAGTGTAGCTGCGCACTACATCAACACAGTTCCCCTCTGCGTTTAGACTCTGCCAGCGTCCACGAGGATGAAATAACAGTCACGAGGCAATGTCAGTGACACGCTGGTTTTGTGCATAAAACCTGTTTTGCTGGATTTCTATTCAGTATGGTGATTGCATCATGAGGTTTATTTAGCACTGTAGCTTTCTTTGCCCAAAATAAGGGGTAAAAAAATGTAAACTGGCTCATTCACAATATACTGTTTCATATAACAGACACCACATTAAAATGTTGTCCTTTACATATACAGTATATGGTATATATACAGTACATTATAAGCATATTTATACATTTACATGTCCAGGACCATCATAAGAATGTGCACGCTATATACAGTACATTACTGATTTATTTCACACTTACAGTAATGTTACACAATCCTGGGCCACAGCAACCTTAATGGAAAATCTGAGCTTTTTTTTAAGCTGAAGTTGTAAAATGAGAAATGTTTAAAAAATGGGTAATGGAAATGATTTTAAGTAACTATTTAAAGTCCAGTGTTTGCCATATCCTTTACTGGTGAAGAAAAAAACCTCAAAGTCATCAACAGTTGATTAATTAAATGCTCTAAGGTGCTGATATTGTCATTAGGAAAGTTAGCAGTTGATGTGTACATGCTAAATATGTTTGTATGCATTACAATAACAAAAGAGTTGGAAGATTAGTTGATTAATCAATTGACAGAAATGTCTTTGGTAACAATTGTGATAACCAAAACAGTAACAGTTAAAAAAAGAAAAAAACTAAATTAGCTGGTTCTGGACTCCAGAAGATTTCCTGCTTTAGTTTGTCTTATATGATGATGAATTGCAGGTTTTGGGGTTTTGAACTGTTGATTGGACAAAACAAGCAGTTTGAAGATGTTATATTGAGTTCTGGAAACTTGTGGTCGGCATTTCCACTATTGTCAGACATTTAAAAGACATTAAAGACCAACTTCTTGTGCTTTTTCTTTTTACTATTTCTGCCCTGATAAAGACCCTGTGAGATTTAAACCAGTCAGCATATTTCAACCCATATGCTGACTAAGTAAGGACTTCTTTGCTCTGATCTGGGTGCCTGAATTGGATTTCCATATAGGTATATGATAAACACATTCTAATTTACACAACATGTTTTGTCTTCTTAGTTATCTTCTGCTTTCTGTAGATCTGTTTGAATACATTAACATATGCATGAGACAGTATAGTGGATTACTGGATTCATGTTCAAAGAGTTTGTGTGTGAATAAGTGCAAGTGCCAGAGTGTGAATGTTCATAAAACTGTGTGTGAACGTGTGTGTGTGTGAATGTGTGTGTGCGCATGTGAGTGAATAATGACAGGCTGTGGCTCCACTGAGGGGATTGATAATAGCCTGGGCTGTGGGCCCCAGGGGAGAGCAGGTAGACACTCTGCAGTCCTGACCCTGCACTCTCACATTACTGAGTGCCTTGCTCTCAGCCCAGCTCTCCTCCACAATCCCCGCCCAAGAACCACCACCACACCACCACCACACCACCCCCCCGCCCACCTTCACTCCACCATGACATCACTGCTAGACCTTCTTCTTTCCTCTCTGAGTCCCTCTTTTGCTTTTTATCTCTTGTTCCACAGTCTATTTCTCTGAGTTATCCTGCTATTTCTCTCTCTGATGGAGCAGAACTGACAACCGTTCATTGTCCGGTTAATCCTCTATAACTCTCTTCTGGACCCCTCATGGTGCCCACACCTCAACTCGAGCCCCTCTGGACTGGCTTGCTCTAACCTCCAGATCCTGCAGTCTGCGCACACACTAAGCTTTACTGTCCCAATCCCCACAGTCCCAACTCCAACTCAAGTACTGGGGACTTAAACACAAGGGGCTTGGCTGCCATCCAAAAAGAGCAAGAGAGGGAGAGAGAGGGAGAGAGAGGGAGAGAGAGGTGCAGTCAGTCCACTGACTCATATCCTTCCCTTTCTGACTCTGCTCCAGCAATGATGTAATGCTCTTGGCTTTTCGCCCTCCCCCCACCCTGTGCCTGCCCACCCCTAGATTTTGTCCCTCCCTCCTCTCCTCCTCTCGCTTTTCCCTCTCTTTCCCTCCTCGACTCGTCCAACATCGCTGCGCTCACTCCTCGCTGGGTGAAGTCACTGCAAGCTCTGGGTAGACACAGCAGCTAAAAAACTTTCGAACGTAACCAAAACAGCCCAGGGCCAAGTTCCAGACGTTCGGGAGACGGTGGTGCAGTCGCCATGGGAACGGTGGTAAACAGAGGGAGAAACAAGGGCCTCAAACAGCTTGCAGCTGCCTGGCTCTCTGAGTAAACACTACACAGGACCTGCCCCTGATTTACTGCCTTTAATCACTGGTGGGAGGAGAGTGCCATGGGGTTTGGACTGAGGAAATAATACGAATCTGATCAAATAAATCAGCCCTAATGGGTTACGACACAGGCTGACTTTTATTAGCGGGCTAGTGGAGGGATGGATGCTGGGAGGGTGCTGCACTGGGATGGATCTAGGATGGGGTGTCCTCACATTAGGGAGCCTCAAGCTGAGTTAAACCATGCCAAAGCACAGTTGAGAAATGGTGGTGGATGATACTCTGGAGCAAATTAGCATGAGTGTTGCGGTATTTATTCAAATATGATATTGTTTTGATTCATTAGATGCCATTGGCTGAGGACAGCAAAGATGGGTTGTCTTTCATTTTCAACGAAAGTAGAAAGCATGTCGGTACATTCCTATCACCAGTGAATCAGAAAAAAAAACCTCTTCAGCAACAAATGTGTCATCTTGAACTGGAATCTGTCAACAGCGCCTGACTGGTTCTGTAACATTTGGCATACACTGCCCCTTTCACTTTCAGTGATAACTCATCCATCTCACTCTTCATCTACTAAAACTAAAACTATCTATCAGTGTTTTTGTCCCTCCCCTCCTTAACTAACTTCTCTTCCTCTTGTTCAGCCACCTGATGCCTGTCTCGTGCCTCTGCCTCTAGTTCACTTTTCCATTTTTTTTTATGAAAGTGCATTCCCAGTGCATTTTTCCCACACCTTCATTCTTCTGATCCCATTTTATCCATACTTCCATCCAAACATGATCTATCCTTTCCTTTCCTTGTGCAGACATGTCTTTTATTCTCTCCCCCACCAGACTAGCCACAATCCTGGTAGAAAAACCCATACATCTCCTCTCTCTCCCCTCCACCCTCCTGATCCTTCATTTCCTCTCCTCCATCTACCTCCTATCCCTCTCTTCCTCTCCTCCATCCACCTCTGATCCATTTCTTCCTCTCCCCTGTCCACCTCTGATCCCCCTTTTCCACACTTCCCCGCGTTGTGATCCCTGCGCTCCCCCAGAGCTGTGAGGCATGTCCCTGTGTGTGAGTTGCTTGTGCAGGAGCCTGCATGTGTGGTGGCCCCGGGGCAGGGATGACACAGCCCCACTGGAATGAGAGGGAACAGAGTCTGGGCGTTCCTCTACAAACGCACTATTAAACCCACTGCAGTACACAATGAGCTCATCTTAATTCAGGTCAGATGTACATCCTGCATTCTCTCTCTTTCTTTTTCTCTCCTTCCTTTTTTTGTAATTGATTACACTGTATACCTTTGTTTCTCCGTACCTTTGTTTATTTGTTCTTCTTTTCTCTTTACCTGGCACTACTCTATGTGCATTAGCCCTACAGTTTATACATGACTATTGCCCATATTTGCCTGTGGTGAAGGGCATGTCAAGTCAGAGCATGAGGGCACCTCAGGCATTTCGTAGCGGTTTTGCACTTCTGCACTTATGACGGACCTCCCTCCTTATCACCACTTTCTGAATGCAATCTAATCATAAACAATAATAAAGGAAGTTTTGTTTGAATTGTGAAGTTCATGAGGTCAAATTGTGTCCATGGAAAGCCCATAAGTCTCTGTAGAGGTGTGGAGACTTTCTCTGTTCTGGCACTGACACAATGGGTGTTGAGATCTGCACAGTTGCTTTATCACATGCATGGGAAAAAGCATTAGGTAATCTATAAAAATCTGATATGCAATGCATCCTGCAATTAAATCATCAAAACTATCAGCACTGCTACGTTACTATTAATTCATTGCACTGTAACAGCAAAAGAACAATATGTCATCAACTGAGAACTACTGAATATCACATCGGGATCAAGATATACTGTATGTGACAGACCATGCAAAGATTGCATTTGCATGTGCATTTTATTTGTTTTAAAAATTTGATTATTAGCGTTTGGTTTTTGTGAAAGTACAAGCCATTATCTAGAAATCATATCTGGCTAGATTGATATGATGATCTATATTAAGCAAAAATAAATGCAAATATGACAGAACGACTGGCAGGTACCAGTCCCATAAGATCTTTTACCCAGTGGCCCTTAATAATTAATCAGCATATCACCAAATCTTCTTGAGAAAATACAGCAAGTTAATAGCAAATGTATCACCCTACACTCGGGCTTTGCATGAAACCCTGTTGTTTAGAAGGTATGCAGACCAACGCTATTTGTGCTACTTCCCTTACAGGCAAAAACAAGGAGCACAAGTGGCTGGTGGCCCCGAGGTGTGAAAAATGTTGTGCATTTAAAGCAGCATGGGAAACAAAACCACAAATTGACTTCCTTCAGAGCTTTGCACAGTGATGTCACGCACAGTATGAAGTTGCACACAGTATGACCAGGGTGAAATATCCCCAACAAGACATATTTAAGTTCAGAGATTAAAGACTAAAGCTAAAGAAAATGTCAAACTGCCAAAAAGTATGGTGGATTACTTTGAAGTAACATAATTTTTTCATGTCATACTTGCATAAGAATAAAATAATAGGAACTTTTTGATATTTTGAGTCCTGGGAAATTTAAGAGGTATTTGAGAAATATCGTCTTGGTTAGATGGTGACAAACCAAAACCAACTGACATCAACAGTCAGTGGTCACCTTTTTAGTTCACATTGCAAATTATTTTTAGGAATTACTCATTTAAGCCATTATAAATGTGATCCAATCTAATAAAATCACCTGTTGTAATATACTGCCAAACTTGAGATAAGCACATCATCATAAATCAATGATCAGATATTTTACCACATCTGTACTGTAATCAGTCCTCACTAAACCCAGCTGCACTCAGGTTGATTGTGCTATGTAATGGAAACAATTGGACTGAATTCCTCTACTGAGCTAGAATAAAAGAATGTCATTTATAATGCCTTGTGCCCACACCCATACCCGCACATCTCCTCTTACAAGTCAAAAGGTTGAAGTTTCCACAGAATGTTGTATCTCACATGGTTGACTAGTAACGTCCAACACATTTAACTCTGACATAACTCAGCACCAGATGTTTATAATTGAAAAGCAGAAAGCATTCAAATCTGTTGGACACCGCTTCCCTTTGTATGATAATGATAGCCGTGACATTAAGATCTGCTGGCTGTTTCTTATGCCTGGTTTTAACACTGGTTTGTGTCAGTGCAGCTCCCCGAAGACCTTGTTTAGGGACTCAGAGTAGAAGGAGAGAGAGAAAAAAGAGAGAGAGAGAGAGGTCCTCAGGTTTCACAGCTGCAGGCCCAGCTCAGCCCTAAAGTAAATGGACTTGAGGAAAGCCAATCCTAATTGATTCCAAGCCTCAAAGCTCTTTAGTAAACATTGTGGAGCAATGAAAATGACTTGTTATCCTAATTCATTGGATGCTCACGCTGTGCGTTCGGCAGAGCTGAGAACGAAGGAAGCAGATGGACGTGAGATTAAACTGATTTTGTTTAGTGATTTCTTCCCATTCAGAGATATATTGAGCACAGAGCTCCATAAAGTGTGTCAAGATCAAAAGCTTTATAGGCCTGCAATCACATACACAAACCTTTCCATTATCCATTATTGATGAGGATAACTGTTTCCTAATTGTCTGGTTATTGTGTCTAAAAGTAAACATAAATATTTGCACATTAAAGAATTTATGCACTGTGGATTATAAACAAAACGCTTTAAATGATTTTTTCTTTTCTTCACAAAGACATAGGGGTGGGTTAATAGGATAACAGGTATCATGGGGAATCACTGATCTGACCTTCAGTAGGCTCCCTAAGTCCCAAACTGGACAAAGCACATCAAGCCTGAATTGTCCAGCTTTGTCTGTGTGTAGGAAGTTCCTGTGGAGAGACCCTGCGCGCTGAGCCTTTGGTTGGCCCTAATGGCTTCCTGTGGAAGCACTGCTTCTCAGTGTAGGGGTTTCCTCAACCCATTTTCCTGCTGATGCAAACATTTCCAGATCAGTTTTCTCTCATGTGAATCTACTCATCCTATTCATTTGTTAGGATTCCACTGTCCTTGTAAACACGAGACGCCTCCGTAGTTTTCACGCATACAAGGGCTGCTCGTGGGATGCCTCAAATAATGTGCTACTGATAACTCAGACTTGTGCCTTTCCATGGCAGAACCACCATCACCACCACCATACCAGCTCTGATTTTCAAGTTTTTTTTTGTGTGCAAGCAGTAACAACCAGTCTCTCAACAAATCAGTCAGAGATATCTGATTGTAAAGGACTGTGAAGAGAGGTGAAGTGGTGAGTCTGTGCTTTGGGCAGGTGAAGAGTTTTTAATGACAGGTAAACTCAGGTGAAGCTGGCCCAGCAATGTCTATGTTTCTGGCAGTGATTGCTGCTCCTCCAAGAGGATGAAATTCCAACCCTGTCTTCGACAAAGAACCTGACGGGGTGTCAGTCAGGCTTAGTGATGGGCCTCCCATTCAATATTCACTAGCTCCTCAAGCTGTAAATCTACACAGGACTACCTCGACACACAGCACAGACATAACACTGAGCCATCTCAATGTCTAACTTGCCTGCCACAGGTCTGGTTTACAGTAACAAAGCCCTGGCACAAGTTTGAAGGTGGTTGGGGTTAAGGGACAAGGAATGAATGAGGTCAGTGTAGCATCTTCATAAGGAAGAACGTGTGTATAAATGTTTATATGTGGTAATAATAATATCACGTTACTGATATAAAAAGACAAAAGACCAGCAGAGGGAAAGATGCTCAAAAAGAGCTGATAGCCCCATGATGGTTAGTAGAATTTATAAAATCACACAGCCTCATTACACATGAAGTATGCATATTCCTTGATCACTAAACGCTGCAAGTAAATATTAAAGCAACACAGATTGCTGTTAATATATTGTCTATATTTGCTGTTACACCTGTAGCATGGTAGCGCAAAGGTATCAGAGAAACAGAGCTCTAAGGTTGCGGCTGACATTCCTATACAGTGAAAGGAACTATTTTAGAGCATGTAATGCTAAACTGTTGTAAAAGCAGTCACGACTGAGGCTTTAACATGACCTCATCTTGTCCTCTGGGACCCTCTTTGGCATGTTCTGCTGTGGGACAATACTGAATGAACAGCAAAACATGAATCGCCGGCCCCACACACACTGCTCCAAATGTAACAAAACACTGACATTACCTCAGAGACTAGAGAGGGATGATCAGCACAGACACAAAGGGACTAGGCCGAGCCTAAGGCTGTCGCTATAATTTGAGGTGAGAGGATACACTCCAATATCAGCACTTCTTTAAAAAAAAATCTGTCTGTCAGCAGTTTGTAACAACTCGGACACAAAGAAGATGTTTGCATAATTCAAAGAGATGCAAAAAAATAATAATAATAATAATATCCGTCCCACTCTTTCTGTTCCAAGTCTTGGTCTACTCACCCTATCTGTCTGTTGGTGGATGGAGCCTGAGTGATAACGGAGCTGGACTGAGGAGAGGGCAAGGCCTGCTGGATCACTATGCTGGTATCGTGGTTGCCCATCCGTGAGTGGGAATGCTGGTGCTGGCCTTGGCCTGCCTGGCCATGCAGTGAGATGTTCTGCAGCAAGGAAGGGGAGAGAAAAACAAGCATATTATAGAAGGTTAGGAATCTGTAAAAAGTGCAACCTTCTAAGAATGTATTTTCAATGCAATTCAAGCAATTACAACTGTTTGGCCTTGGGCTGCATTCACCCAACTTCAATAGGTAATGAGGAACTATGTAAACTATCATCTACAGGGTTTTTCTGAGCTGAGTTGGGGAAACATTGAGGGTCTAATGAAGACCAGGTTTCTGTATTGTTATTTGCCCAGCAGGACAGTTTGTTTTGTTTTACCTCTGTTAATAGAACCACATATATAATATAACCCTGTAATACTGTAAGAAACAATACTTGTCCAAGCTCGACTCACATATCTTAGCATAAAACAAACAGCAAGTAATTTGCATTAAGTCAAATGTGAAACAGTCACTGGCAATAATCAAATACAACAAAGATAATAAAGTCACAGATTTTAGAAACAGTTTTCCTGACAAACTGGTACTGATCCTAAATTACATGTCATTGTTGAGGAAATTGAAAAAATATCAATAAACTAAATCACTCTCTCTTCTTTTATATTAGTGTCTGTAAATGAATATTTCATATTCATATTAGTCAATTGCTGTTTTCCTGAAGTTTCAAGCTTTCCCTCCTTATCTCTGCTTATTGTCCTATGCACTCCCAGAGAGTCTTGCTCTGACTCGCCTCCTGCTGACTTAGCATTGCCTCCCATCATAAACCACACAGGCTGGAGAGGCTAGACAAGGCTGACCTGAGCATAGACGAGCTCCAGAGCCAAACCACCCAGACGACAGCTTAGCTACAGTGTGCAATGGACATCTTTCTAGACATTAGATAAGCAGTCTGTCTTGTGGTGATTTGACTAGAACCCATGTTTCAGGTTAAGGTGCCTCAGGGCAGATTTATAATGCATAAATTAGCAGGTCTTTTGTCAAATGTCAATGCTTTGCAACTCTGCTCAGATGTGAGAATGTCTGGCGAGGTCTTTCATTGCAGCCACAAAAGTGGTCTCAGGGGTCTGTCTTTACGTTCCTGGAAGAAATAGGAATCCTGTCCAGAGAGATGGCTGGAGAGCTGTTTGAAGTTACAGGTGGAGAACCTGATCTCTTTTCTCCTCACCTGTGGTGGGTGACAAATCTCCACCTGCTAGCCCTGTCTGTCACTGTCAACAAGACTGATGGGGATCGGGGCGTGTGATGTCTGGGGCATGACAAGGGCTGGATGTGCAATACATGACTACAATTTGGAGAAAAGGAGAAAATATGGCAGAAATATCGGTGTAGGTGTACAAATACCTGTGGTTTTCACTTTTAAGTATGCGTGCAAAGTGCAGTGACATGAGGTGTATTAAATCTATTCTAAGTGTGTGTACCTGCTCATAGCGTGTTGCTTGCTATTAATGACATGACTGACGATAGCACCAGATAACTGTTCCTAACCACCTGATCTAACCACTGTGGGCGGCTGTGGTTTTGGGTTGACCTAGGTCCTTTTTCAGCCTTAGGCTTTGTTCTCTACTCTGCAGTACCTGTTTACTGTCCTCTTCTTCTTGGGCTTTGCAGAACTCCTGCTCGATGGAGCAGTCCAGTTCACTGAACAATCCCACCTCCTCACAGTTCTTCAAGAATCGTGTTGGTGTGGGCGTCTGGTCTGGAAATCAAGGTTTTTCAAGTTTTAGCTTTGAAATCAACTACATGTTAGTAGTGTTTATTTGTCAAGCTGTACATACAGTACACCATGATGGTGGACGGCATGAGGAATAGAGCAAAATAAGGACCAACATCCTGTAACACATCATCAGTCTTTTTTCATTACTTTTAATTCTATTATTTTTTCATGTATTTGTAAAGGACCATGTATAATATTAAACATAAATGTTACCATTTTATATATTGTGCCAGAATTAGGTTAACTAATTTTCATTTGTAGCCCCTTAACAGGTCACAATTGAAATATTCATGATAAAACGGCACTAAACAAGCAAACAAGACACAAAACAAAATGAAATACAACAGTACATCACACACACCATGTTAGCAAGCAATGTTACAGCATATTTTAGATAATGTCAAGATATTTGAACTAATATCTAAGATCTAAGATCTGACAGTTTGTTTGGTTTTATTGTATCATTTTTTTACAGTTGAATCTTTAATTTACAGTTCTCCAGTCTTAATGTTTGGTTTGTTTTGTTTGTTTTGTCTTTCTAGCCCCATTGATTCATCAGCATAATGCTGTGTATTCTATTATTTATTTATGTGGACCACAGTTAAACTGGCAAACACTTTATGGGAAACAATGGAGATCTACATAAAGACTAAATTGTAAAGAATGTACAGTGTTGTTACGTATTTGCAATGATTTTAGGAAAAAATAACTTCTATTCTGTTAGTGAGAGGGAGATACTACGCTTGACAGCCCCATTTCAGCTGATAAAGTACAGATACAACCTATAGAGTTGGGGTCTCATTTGTCGAGCCCAGTCAAGCCGTGGAATTCAACTTGACGTTGTGGGGGGTGTACAAGGATCAGGTTTCAGACAGTTGAGGGTGATTTTAGGATCAGGCTTGTTTCAAAAGCTAAAAGCATACTTCATTGTCTGTTTATCCATTCTGGCTAGACCAGGGATTGACTCAAACTTTCATCATGACCTGTGTACCCAAAATACAAATATACTTTTTTCCATTTTGGCTAAGAATGTCACAAGTTCTATTAATAAAAAAGCAAGTACTTTTTAGTTGAGGATAACACACCTATGAGTAAATGAAAAGAGTGGCAAATGGAGTAGGACGTTAAGTTTAGGTTAATAATTATAGTACTAAAAGATAAAGAGTGGATTATTTTGGTGACCAGCTTAGGGTACACTTATAGTACCACACATGGCTGAGCTTTAACTTCCAGTAAAAGCACTGACTATTTTATCCTGAGTTCAAGGTCTCAATAAGAGAAATGGTCAGAACTGTAACTCAGACAACAGGCGATAAGAACACCCGGCCTAGAAAATCCGATCCCGCTGTCCGCTCAGCGTAAATAATAAAGAAGACACAATCTGGGCGGCATGGCTTGAGCAGCTCACACTGTTGTCTAATGTGGCCTAGCAGTTTCTAGGAATGGAGATCTATACTTATAGATTGGCCTTGGGTTGACACTTGTTTATGCAGTACACAATCTATGATTTGGTGTTTCTTTGAACAGTAGATTAATGTGCCCATCGGCATGTCACATGGGTCTTGTACACCCCACCATCCATAAAAGCAGGGCAAACCACCTCCCACTGCCTCTACAGTAAGATCAAGAGTAATGACACCTCTGACGATCATACAAAGCAACGGGGAAGAGGAATGTTGCTTAACATGCTGATTTCTCCAGTCATACGTCAGTGTCTCTGTAGCCTCCTGAAGGGTGTATAAGTGGTATGCACTGAAAAGAGCTGAGATGCAATGTGTCATATGATTTACATTACTGTAAACAACTGGTATAGAGACGCCATAAAGTTTTCTGATGATACACAAGTGTGTCTGAGCATGAGTCACCAAGGCACACACCTGCAGATGAACTACAAGTTCTCCAAGAACCCTGCTGAGATAGTGTGTGAGTCTGTACCGATGTAGCCGTAACTCACCTGATAACATGTTGTCATTCTTTATGGAGGGGAACTTAAGGGTCATCTCATGTTTGTGTCGATGTATCATCAGATGGTCCTCCGTGGGGAATCGCTGTTTTAAAAGAGTAGGATTGTAAGATTTGTATATACAAAGACAAAAAAATAATAATAATCCTGTGCACTGAAACTTTAACCCAAATAACATTCGCTGTTAATTTAAATTTAAAGATCGTCTCCTATAAGAGCATCAACCCTGGCGTTGACTTCAAAGAGAATATTTTTCTATGGGTATTTTTACACCGCCAGCGTTATTTACAGTTTGTGTTTCACTCAGTTCCATGCTATTCTGTTTCTCCCTTATGTGTGAGGCAGTAACCCACTCCTCAGGCCTCCTCAATGTACACCTCTTCATATTACAGGCAGACATAAGCACACACATGCACATGTACACACAATGTTGTGTTATTTCGTCTCAACACACTCACCTGAGAACAGCCAGGAGCGTTGCACATGAACGGCCTTTCCTGGTCTGAGTTCATCACTCTGGCCGCCTTCTCATAAAACTATAAAAACACACACACACACAAAAAAAAAGCAGATAGAAATGAATGACTTGAGTTTCCCCGCCAGCGTCTAAGAGGAAAAATACACTCACAGTGAAATTGCTATTGCATCTAAAAAATCTGTGTGGTTATTTTCAATAAGAAACTGTTTCTCACACTACAGTAATCTTGGATCCAATAAAATGACATCCAGGCTAAGGTTGTGGGTTTTTCAAAGACTGGAAACACTGGTATCAATAACTTCAGCAAAAACTTCCATACAATGGAAAAGCATTTAAATAGTCCAACATCTAATAGATTATTTTAATACTATCCTTTTATTACATGTAATCTTAATTTCAACCTGCTCTAAAGCCATTTATGAACAAAAACTAATAATAATAATATTGCTATAGCACTCTGTGAAGCTTACAACAGGGATGGGTCTGAGCTTAAAGTTGGATGCGAACAATGACACAGTGACATGATGAACCACAATAGAAATTTCCAGTCAAACACCACCACCATGTTGAAACCACAGTTCATCAAATGTTCATTCTCACCACAAAGTGACAGAATCTGGTCTAGCACATATGGTGCTCATCTAGCAACTACAACTACTCACCAGTCATAATGTGAAAAATCCCTCTTCAGTAATTTACCTATACAGTGAAACACATTGAACCTTAAATAGAACGCAATTCCTGTAAATCTCATCAAATACTTTTTTGAACATTGATGCAGTACTTTTATGTTTCAGTTGTACAGCAGCCATTTCAAGATTTAATTAAGTTAATCGCATACATTGCATAGTGAGAACAAGAAAAGAGAGTTGTGGCAGAGCAGCATTGTGTTAAAGGTAGATGCAAGGTTCAGTTTATTTCTTATAAATAACAATTTTAAAACATGAGTTAGTTTTAAATCTTACAAATAGGAGACAACATATTTGTTTCCTGCAATTACTGCCAAATATGTGCTTTGTAAGTAATTGCTCAGTACACTACAGCAACGGCTATGCATCATGTCAAATGTGCAATGGCGTTTTAGATGCTTTAATAATTTAGAGTGAAAGAGAGGACAAACTTTCCCAGAGGAGGGCCTTGTACCTGTGCTCTGTTGGAAAATATAAAATGAAACCTGAGACACATAAAAATTAAGGGCCTACAAATTCTCTAAATCTAAACCTGTCCCTCTGTTTACTTACGGAAACTAAATCATTCACAACAATAAGTAGGATGCATATGTTGAAAACAGCCCAACTATATTTACGATAGGATGTCAGAGAAAAAAAAACAGTACTAACAGGCACATTTTATCAGCTTCTCAAGATCAAACCAAGAGCAATGAGATGCCATTTAAAGGCTCTGATGTGCACTTTAATCAATCATTGCATTAGATGCCTCACTCACATTTAAATATTTAAACCATAAAGTTTAACAACAGCTTACATAATTGTTTATGTCAAGAGTATCTATAACAATAGTTGATCTATTATTGTAGGCAGAAAACATTTTATTAGAAAAAGTCAACAAGGCAACAAGTATAGCTGGTATAGAAACCAGATACGTTTGAATAGAGGCTGAAGTGTGCATGTAAAGAGTATTAAAGCTGTCACGCACTAAAGGCTGGCACTACAAACTTGATCTAATCTCGCTTCCTGTTTCAAATCATTATTTCAGTAATTGTATATTGCATCTTATTTATGCAATTCTTGTTAGGATGTTTCCGTTAACACACCATTAAACATGGATCCAGGTTTAGCCTTTTTATTTAAATGAGAGAAAAGGACTTGTAGATTGTGATTGTGGTAAAGAAAAAATATTATTTGAGTATTCTTTTGTCCGGGTTGTAAGTCTTTGGCCTTGCCTCTAATATCATATATGGTCATTGCTGGCTGCTCTGTCACAGTGTATGTCTTAAATCAAGGTCTCGTCCACTTCAAAGATCATTGTCCAGCACAAAGCAGCCTAAACTATCCTCAGCACTGACAACCTCTGAGCAGCCACCACATGGCAGTACTACAAATGTCCAGCACTTGCTGACAAATGTCAAATTAATATGACAAGTGTTAAATTAGTCTTTATTAATCCCCTTCTAGGAGCACAGGACCAATCTTCAGCTTCGAGATCAGTGCCTTGATCAATAGCAGGAAGATTCTAAAACACTAAACATGCAAGCATATGAAAGACATATGCAAGTCTTTCGGCATATGGGACAAGCAAACAGGGATTGAACATTCAAACTCCTCACAGGAATGACCCCGTTGGCCCCCGTGGAGTTTAAACCAAAGCACCACTGAGGGCATGTAAACCTCCATGGTACTTCAAGTCATAGACACACTTATTTTGTATTCCAGTATGTGAATTAAGCCTTTACAAACTATTTATATTGTGCCTGGATGAATTATGGAAGTTGGTAGGTGCAACAGTCCATCTCTATACCACAAAAGTAAAGCTAAATGAAGACATTTAGAGACACAGAAACTACAGTACACAATGCAACAACAACATATCAAGACAAAGAGGTCTGTTAAGAGAATAACAACTGATTAAGTGTGTGGGGTTTGTTTATAACGTGGGTCTCTTGATAATGGCTGAAACATCTACAGTTCTCATTTTACATACATGCAACACAACATGTATTACTCTTTTACCCACAACAATCATTATTTCACAAAAACTAAAACGCATCCAGAGATCAAGTCAATGCCAAGGGTCACGTGTCAAGCATGAATACCTTCATACACTATGTACATGTGTGGCGTTTTCATGGGTACAGACTATTTCCTCAAGCATAGTCAAAACACTCAAATATTGTGTTATGCTAAGCAGTGCTGTTTTCCTAACAAGCTGTACTTCATGACCAAGCCTGCAGAACAGGGTCTGGACAGGGTCTCTCTGTCAGAGAGCAATGAGCCCTGGACTCTCTTTCTGTCACCAGTTCACTCCGTCTCTTTAACAGGGCCCCAAAAACTTACCTGGTTTCCTTTGACACAACAAACATGACCAACACTGCTGATCCTAACTAGACCTGGAATGATGGCGAGTACTACTGTAGAGCCAGCGCTTTGACAAGTCTATCGCTGATTATTCATGTCTTGATTCAACATTTTAGGCCACATTATTATCTCCAATACCAATTGCCGCTGTCGTTTTTAGACTTTTCCTCCTGAACATCTGTGTGAGTATAAATCCCTTCGTTTAAACCTAAAATTCACAATAAATCACAAAACTGATATCCCCAGAAAGCATTAAAAGAGAACAGATGAACAGATGCAAAACTTTTAATTTTACTTTCCTGTTTCTAAAAAGGGACTTCGTTTCATCACCTTTACCAGGAAATTCAAACCATACGACGCATAAAACTTTTAACCATTAATTCTGTGAATGCCTCTGTGAATTATCCAATAGCTTTCACATTTCAAATTATCAGTACTCAAGGCCCTTTCTTTGGAAGGGGCACTTGGCTCTCATTTGATATAGATGTTTTAGTTTAGCAAAGGAAATTTGGTTACACTTTACATTAACTATATCCTGATGTGTGCGAGGGGAAGGATTAGGGTCCGGCGTTCGATTTCAAGAGGAACTGGGGAGGAATTCTCCAGGTAGAACGCATATTAGAATTTAAACAATATGGTGAGGAAAAGAGGGGTTGGGGTGCAAAGGCATATGGGGTTAAAGCAAGCACAAACATGAGCAGCAATTCAAATCTCCAGCTCCCCATAGCCTGGGCCTTTGACAGCACAAGTTCAAGGTAGGATCACGGCGAACCCTGAGGCAGGGAACATGGTCCTCTTAGGCAATGTCTGCCCTGAACTTCTGCTCTTGCAGTGAATGCGTGACAGAAAGACTGATGTGATGTAAACCTCCAGACCTATCAATTACTGGTCTCTTCCACAACATGTAAACTCATAACAAATACAAAGATGCCCCCTCAGAGGGCCACCATGACACTAATACCACTCACATTATTCTACTCACAAAATATTTTATGACATGGCTGGAATAGAGAAAAAAAAGTCCCAGAATATATATGTATTAAAAATGTAAAAATAATAAAGTAATAAAGCATCTGTTTTTTTTAAGGTTAAAAAAAACATTGGAGGCCAAACTTCTGATTGGACTGTGTGATTTGTGTTGTGATTTGTGTTATTTGACCCCTTCCTACATTAGTACAATTATTACCAGAGAAATGTTTCACCTTGAGCACATGCAACAACCATCTACAAATAAAGGTCACATTTTATTGCTGCAATGAGCCTGGATTGTAATCAAGCTGAACATCGTGTAAAATATGAAGAATTGGATCTGTATCAAGGTTACTGAATAACAGTAAGTCATTCAGTAAGTTTAATGTGGAAATTTTACAGTCTTTGCAGTTTTGTATTATATTATTATGTAATTATCAATATTTTGATGTGTATTATTTATTTTCCTGAGCAGTTGGATTCACCTCAGTAGAATATAATTGAAAGTAAGATTTTGATTCAAAAGAAAAAAATATTTATTACGATTATTAATTATTAAGAATTATTTCTAGGGGAATTTGTAAGTCACAATTGTTAACTTCTCAGACATTTTTTTCTTTCTTGCAACAAAGAAGTGGAAAATGTGAAAAAGAGTATCCATGTTACAAACTTTTTTTCTCAGACTGTTGCTTTCATAAAATGTAACTTTCTTCCATTGTAGTACAATAGGGGCCTGTTCTCTCAAGCTTTTTTAAAAATGATTAAACTAAAAGCCCATCTCAGTCTAAATGATCAGAATTACTAAACTCATCATTAGACATGAATCCCCTTATTATCAGGCGTTATTAGCAGAGCCAATTAAAAGGACACAATAAAACTGAAAGCCTGCACATGGATCCAAAGCGGCGTGCATGACAAACGAGGGGTTATTGATAGTGTTGTCACATAAACAGAATGACAGCGGAGAGTAATCAAATGATTAAAACATCTTGCTTTTTTTTCCCTCTTTTTTTTTCCCCTAGCCGTATAGCCTCGTCAGCACAACCTTCCTGAAAGTAACCCTCAACATCTCAGCGCTTAATCAAATATCGACTGGCCTGCAGAATGACGTAATGTTAGTCACATTACAGTTAGAGGGAAAAGGGAACGTAAATTACACGGGAACAGGAGCATCACTCTTCTCCTTTTCTAACTGGCATGACAGCAAAAAAACAAACAAACAACCGAGCTATCATTTTCCAGACGGTCGCTGGTGAACCGCAGCACGCAGACAGTCCGGGACAAACGCCGGCTCCTGCGTATCCCGAGATGGGACAGGCGTGACAATGGTGCAGGGATCCGGCGTTGGCGGCTTTAGGACTAATAGAATAACTGGAGGACGTGCCAAATTGGTGCCAAGTGCAGTGCAAAAATCCGTCCTTTGCAATAACCCATTGTGTGTGTGAATGATGAATTCCTGCAGACTTGTCACCACTGCTACCTGACAGACCGAGCAGCAGCAGCAGCAGCAGCGGCAGCGGCACTTGACTCCGCGTTCAACTTCCAACAAGTCAACAGACAGACCAACGACGCCGGAGTGAGATGACAATGCGCCTACTCTACCAAAACTAAACAGACCCGTTATCTCATTCACTTTGCACCCACAAACAAGTTGAGAACAAGGAGAAAAAAGAAAGAAAAAACCCTTGACCAAGGCTGCTGAAGCGAACAACGAAACAAGCTGTTGCATGAGAGAGAGAGAGGAGGAAGAAAAAAAAAGAAAAAAGGAGGAGAAAAAGTAACAAGGATCGCTTTTTTAACAAACGCCAACAAACCTGCAGAGGCGCATGCACGGTCCTCTGCATGGCGGTGGAAGGTTTTTCAACTCACCAAACAAATGTAGAAAATGTGAAGCAGTCTCTCAGAAGAAACCACGTTGGACTGAGAAAAGATTACAATACGATCTATTTAGAGAAGCATAACGTCACCCCCGGGTGACGTCACGTGGGATTCCTGAACTTCTAAATCATTGCGGTCCGCTTAGAGGCGGCGCGAGCGGGGCGGAGTTTTTGCGAGCGCACGCCCAGAGGCATGGACGCATGGACGGTGCCGGAGCCGGAGTGGGTGTGGGTGTGGTTGCAAAGAAGAAAAAAGAAAAAGAAGAAGCTGGATCTCCAGTGCTTGACCATTCAGGCATGCGGATGAGCGTCGCATCTTGTGTGTGTCTGGTCCTCCTCGAGCCTTCGGGAGTTTGAAGTGAGAAAGATTCAGTCGCACATTTTATCACTTGGAAAGACAATGCCAAGGACTTCACATACTGCGCCAAACTTCGAGTACTGGATCATTGCAATACTTAATCTAACCCTTACTAATAGGCTAACATAATATAACCATTTTTCTTTAATAATACAGAAAGAAGCCACTCTGTAAGAAAATGTACCTTTAAACAAGGCCTTGTTACTGAAGACATTTTGGTGATGGCTCTGTTTTATTCAATTGTCCCAGTAAGTGTGACAACAAGCCAGCATGCGCAATACCGGGCCCCTGAAAGTGTAGCAGCTGAATGGAAATTGCCTATTGTTAATCTTATTATTTACAGCTGTGCTTTTCCTTCTGCGATGTCAAAATATCCTCTGTGAAAAAAAAGGCTTATTGGATTAATTAGAAAATAAAAGTATACAATATTTGAGAGAAGGAAGTTAGACAATGCTAAGCCTTTCAGTTGTGCTCACAGGTGGCTGTCTATTGCAGTGACAGGCTGGATCAACCTGCTGCAGGTCCCTGAGGCAAAGATCAGCTGCTGGGCCACTATTAACCCCCACATTCCTTATGCCCTGTGTGAACAGTGTACAGTTTTTCTAAGCTGGAATACCTGGCCTCAGACTTGCCATGTTGTAAAACATATAGGCAAAAATACAACTAAGATTGACACATGTACACTCGTTAGACAGACCTACCATTCAGTTACAAATGAGCAAAAACCAGTAAGTCTGGAGCTTTCAGGGACATTTAACGCCTTGCACAGTTGTACACTAAGAAGTTGGTAACCAGGCCATGGTGACAGTTTTCATATTTCAAAGCATCAAAGCTACATATTATTATCCGACTTCACTGTCAGAGCCCGAACAGCTCGTTTTGTTTGCTACTGCCTTCTTTTCTGATCTTTCCTCAAAGGTTTTCTTTTTTCTCTAGTTGAACTAAACTTATTTTGCACTGTAAGCTGGCAGAGCTAACATGCATCCTCAACAGCCTCGCTTGCAAATGAAGTGAACGTGCAAAACACATAGTCGTTCCCCACAGTCTTGTCTGAAGTGTGTGCTTATAGCATACAGCACATTAGAAAAGATTTAAACAGCTTTGAAGTACAAAGCATTTATGCTGGAGCTCTGTGTGACCTGCTGGTGCCAACTGGCTGTGATTTCTTGGGCCACAGACACAGATAGTGAAGCCATCCTCGGCTCCAGGGATTAATGACTCCTCACACATTGAGAAATGTTTACCACTCGCCTGCGACCACTCCACTAGACGCACTAAGAGCTCTGTCACTGAAACAATAACGCAGTCTGGAAAGCCCTCATAACTCAGAGCTTCTCCGCCTCTGTCTTTTAACCAGAGCTTTAATCAACGTTTATGACATCCTTTTGTCTCTTTATTGCCAATATATTTCCCAACCAATCCAAACATTATGCTCCCAGAGGAGCAGACTATTAAGGTTGGAAAGAGCCGATACAGTTTGGGTCAGTGACCCACACTAAAGCAGATTTGATCTATATTATACTAAACCTTTTATTATTATGCCTTTGTGCAATGCTTTTGAGTAAGATCACCTTGGGAAGATTAGCACCAGTGAGGGTGCTTCGGTGCAGCAGGTGCAAAAGGTGAAAACGGCTAAATGTGCTAAATGTGTCAAACAGGCTTTCAATTTGTAAACAAAATATAAAACACCTTCAGAATATATTTTACCTCAACCGAAGATGGAAAGCAGATGTTAAATGGAAAGTTACTGTAAAACATTGTTTCCTGCTCTTCATACCTTAAGCAGAGATGATTGTGCCTGCAGGGATGGAAATGTTAACTGCATGGTATTCCGCATTACAAGATGGCTATTTAAACTGATGGTACATTCAGTTTTTGCTGTCTTCATTCCTTACAAACGTCTTTGCTTATCTTAAGTGCAAAGCTGAGGTAAAGAAACAAACAGCATACATTTTTGCATTTTGACAAAGTTCCTGCAAACAACATCTCCAATTTATTCAGGATTAAGAAAAGGAGTGACAGAGAAATTTTGATTGAATTTAGTTTTGTTCATAAAAGAGATCACTCACAGTGACTGACCATCAAGCTTGTCTTACCAATGAATGCAGGCCAAGTTATTTAAATGTTTCTTTATTGAATTCCTAAATATACCAACAAAAAGTTTTCAGTAAGAGGCAACCTATCTTCCACTTATAAGACTATTTTGATAGCCTGCAATCTGATGATGCGTTGACTAGTGGAGTTGTTTCTGTGACTGAAAACAAAAGACATCATGGTTTTACAAAGATACTGTGACAATGACTATGAAATAAACTACTTTAAGCAGGACTAATTATTTATGTATTCTGGGTATATTAAGGTCGTTTGCAAACTATGAAAACAACCAACCTCAAATGTCAAGCCTCTGTTTCCATTAAAAAATGTGCTTTGTGGAGGGGTGATGGCCTGTGACAATGTAGGAACAGCTCTTCTCTCAGTTGTGACATAGCCAGGGGATAATGTGGCCACCATTTCTAAGATAAAACTAAGATTACCAGACAGCAAAACCAGAGGCGTCAGCCAGACTAGTTAAAAACATTGCATGAGTAAGCCCTCGACACTTGTAACAGGATTACCAAAGTTGGACATGTTGACATTATTTATCAAAGTTCTCTTTTTATGAGTAACGTGCAAAGATGTTACTCATAAAGAGAACTTTAGTAATTTGTCATGCTCTGCTCTACGTGTTGATGACATCTGTGAAAAAATAAAGTTGCTAACACTGCAAAACAGCAGTAGAGTAGTTTAAATTTTGTATTGGGTGGTGGGATTGTTTTGGAATTTATTAGAGGAGGGTACTCTGTACAGTATATGCATTTATTTAAACAATAAATATTTCTCACAGCCTCATCTAACGACTTTGGGTCTTCGCTTTTTTGAAAAGAACGGTCAACTGACCAAAGAGCACCAGTGCAGGACAGACTTGGGTCCTGGGACACCGAACATCACTGTAGAGCGTTGTGAGAGCCTAATTCAACAAAACGTATCTACTGGGAGGCTCCGAGTAGATAACCCCGGTGACATTCCTGCACTCAAACACTCGAGCCTGTAACATTTACATTAGGCGGCTGGTGAATGGTGCTGCCTGTGTGATGACCCTTCAGATTTATAACAGTGTAGGATGATGTCCTCTGTGCTCAGCATTTGTGGGTGAGTATATCATTCCTTTGACATCTGAACTGGGCTTCTGTGTGTGCTCAAACTGGATTATTCAGGTCATTTGTAAAACCATTTATAAATGTTCCCTGGCTGGGTTTGGAAAAGTGTCATATAAATGGATGATAATAACAATAACTTAACATCGTTAATTTTTAAGTCTTCATTTTTATTTATATTACGACATTGTATAATTAATATTTTGGATTAGGTTGTTGAACAGTACTGCCATTGTGTTATTTCTTCTGTTATAATTTACCTTGGCCTGCAAAACCTTCTGTTTTATTAATGTTCTACGAAATACTAATTCATAAATAAACATTCGGATCATTTGAGCTTGAAATAATTTCTCAGGGGAGTTTATGAGCTAGTTTCTGCTATGTTTCAAGACATTTTAATTGTATTTCATTAACATAAAACTTGAAATAATATAGGTTGGAAAAGGTCCGCTAAGTGTTAAATTAAAAAGGCCAGAAGAATTTCGGTGCCTCTCTTTATTGACTTGTTATTATGTGGTGCATAAAACTAACTGAGCTAATTATCTTGTTGTTGAGCTTGAATTTGTTAGGTAGTTCACAGAGAGCAAACAGGGTTTAGTCACTTACCTCGCTAGACTTTCAAATCCTCCCACTCCACCGAGTTGACTGATTGTTGAGTTCACAATTCTGTTTCATATCAATCACTTACTAGTTGATGTGTGACTTTGTCTTAGATGTTTCCACATTGAGGTTAAACCTACACAGTGAATCTCTAGAGCAGAAAATCACAAATGCATCTATTACCTCATCTACATTTATGGGTTGTAACAAAATGAAGAGTAATGATTAGCTGTAGTTATGCTCATCAAGCACAACCATCAATAAATAGCTGTGGATAGGTAATGCCAGCATTTTAAAACAAAAGCCATCAACTTCCTTTAAATAAGAGGCTGTGCATGATGTAATGTTTTCAAAGTAATATCCCACAGTGTTCTCAGGCATAACTGAAACTAGTTTTCTGAAAAAGGGCTGGGCCCAGTGATGACCCATTACACCATTACCAGGCACAAACTCAAAGTTACTCAATAGATGAAATAAGTAAGTAACTGGAGGAAGTTAAAGTCAGTAAATCTTATTACTGTACTGTACAAAATGGATTTCTGCAGAAGATTTGCACCTCTACTAAAAGATTCTACATTTCCATAGAGCATAGATGAACACAAGATTAACATTCATGGCCACATACCAGGGATATGTATTCTTACGTGTACCTTATGAAGACCAAAATGTTTGTCTTGCAAGTGATTGCATCACTCTGTCTCATCCACTGAAAACTGGTTAAAAAAAAGAACAAAGTTAGATTTTTTTTATAACAAGACACAAAATCGTTCATATCGGTTGCTCTGAGTAAACTTTGTGAACACAAGCTGAAGTTGTTTACTTTCTGTGACCTGAAGTGATTCCATACATAATTGGATCCATAGGAAAATGGCCATATTTTATGAGTGAGGACTATATAAAAATGGCAACATGTGTTCTTTTCTAGCCTGTCTCTATCTGAAACAACTGAATGAACAAACTTAAATTGCGACGCACAATGCATTAAATAATCTAGATGGTACATAAACATTGGACGGAGGTTTGAAGCAATTTGTATTTAAAACCTATTTGATACTGAGACTCTCTGTGTGTACTTAATAAGCATGATGTATGCAACAACACTCGTGGTAAAGTCTGTGATGAAGACTCCTAAATGACTGCACATGAAGAACAAACTCATATTTATGTACTGACCAATACTGCCACACTGTGGCAATAAGATGTGTTGCAGCTACTTGGCTCCATTATGTCACTAACATCCATCACTAAAATAATTACTGATGATTGCAAATTTGTTAATAAAGTAGTTCTTTGATTTAATAGCGTGGATATACATTGAAATAAATCCTGACGATTCAGATGAACACAAACACTTTATTCTGTTTGTTAAAACAGTACATACTCTATAAGAAGGCACTGCATGGGAGGCAAGTGGAACAGTTAAAGACACAAAGCAAAAAATAAAAAAAGATTCAGCAGATAGTTTGTAGTAATGGTGCCGATGACCTACTGATGACCCATCCATCCAGCTGTACTAACTACATTCATCAAGTTAGGTGAAATAAAAAAGCAACAACTTCCCCTCAGAATGGCACAAATAAAACTTTAAAATGACTTTAAGTGTGTTAACTGTGCCTTTGCTTAGACCTATTTGGTCTGTTGTATCATTGCCATGGATCATACTGTAATAATATAGCTACTACACTACACTTACCACTACACTACCTTCATTATATAGTTTCTGTCCATTTATTATTGTAATAAATCTACTACATTAGTTGAGAATTATGTCCTGATAAACATGTTTAAAACTGTACATTGAAACAAGATATTATATATATATATATATATATATATATATATAGGTATTTCATAATTTAAATGATTGCAGCTAAACAACGTGGATGCTGAGATATTTAGTTAGCGATGAAAAGGTCAGTTGATTCGTTGACTAATCACTATTTGAATTGATAAGTTGATTAGAGCCACCTGTGATAATTGATTTATTCCACCTGTGATAATTGAATTACTCAAACAAAGTCTTACAGGCCTGTATGTAAAGGTATTTGCTGGTGACTGCTTCGCATGCTGTGCACTGGTACTGAGCTCCATTCATTATAATTATGGATTGGGATTTCAGGCTAGTGGCCACAATAGTCCTAAAAGACTTCCTTAAACGATATTTATCGTTACTGGTAGCAGAAAAATATATTTCCGTGTTGGTTGCAACTTTAAGATACATATTAATCTCGTTATATACATTCAGAATACTAATATAAATTGTGCTGCTTAGATACACATTTCTTTAAAAAAAACAAAAAAAACTATTTATGCTTTTCTAATGAAAGCCAACACACCACACTTCCGCTCTCGCTGTCGCTCTCCAGCTGCTTTGACGCAGCTCGGTGAAGTCGCCGCACCGCCCCTGCCGCTCCAGCTGTTCCCACCGCTGTCCGCCTGCTGTTCCTCCGCTGCTCGCTGCTGCCTGCCTGCCCTCATTTCCAATGCAGCAGCGACCATGACAGGCATCGCCGCTGCTTCTTTCTTCTCCAACGCTTGCAGGTTCGGGGGCTGCGGACTTCACTTCGACTCTCTGGCCGAGCTCATCGTGCACATCGAGGATAGCCACATCGGTAAGAGCCGATAAGTAACGAGCGCCGCAGCTAGCAATGGCCGAGGTTTGCAGCTAGCAGGAGTGGCTAAGTTAGCGAGCTAGCGAGTTACTTCCTGCGTCCTGACAACCCTGTTGCTAGGTGTGGCGGTTGTTGATGTCTGTGTGTGGATATTACGGTTCCTTGTTCACCGCCTGCAATAGTGTATCAACCTTGAACCCCCCCCGATTAGACAGCTGGCTGCGACACCCGCAGAGCCGCACTGAAGCGCCGACGGGGAGCGAGACACTTTCTTTAGCTCTTGTCGGGTCGCTCGTGCAACATTATTACAGCGCGAGGCCCGCGCGCAGAGCTGCCTCGGACGCGTCGTGAGTTAACGTGCAGTCAGCGCGAGCCAATGACGATGGAGACACTGATCGATCATCAGCTGGTTTCAATCCGCCTGACGACACAAACCGAGTTACTGTCTGTTTCATGTATCACTTTAACAACCGCTGGGTTTCTCTAATAATGATGTAGTTCATACATATATATACATGTATCTGCCTAAATCACCTGTTTTAATCAATGTTGTTATTGCTCTGATATTAATTAGCTGACAGTTTTTGGCCAGTTGTGGACAGAACACCTTTTTCATTGGTGAATATATTTCTCTTTTTTTTTATAGCTTTATATATTATTAACCATTTCACAATTAGATAAAATCAAATAGTATCTCATATTCTCACACTTGTGACATACTAAGTAATTATAATCATTAGAACTATTAAGGGGATTCCACCAATTGTCAACATAGTGAAATTTAGAAATGCAGTTGCCTCATTATAAAGACATATGATGTTGATATTGATCACTAATCCATGTAATGGCTATATAACACATGCTGAAAACAACTTGTGTAATCAATTATCTTTTATTGTTTAAAAAACAGTTGACGTCATAAATTCCATCCTGAATCTGAACATCTGGAAAAGTAAGAAGTAACTTTAAAGACAGACTTGTGTCTGGCTGGAATAAAGTATTGCATACACGTATGAAGAAGTTCATTAGAGTCTGTGTTGCTTTTGAATGTGATGCATACACCACCAGCATGCTCGACACTGCCATCAGTCTCACCACAATCAACAGCGCCACCTCTAGCTCATGTGGGGGAAGACAATAACAAGAACTACCTGAAGCTGGAGATGGAGATTTGTCTCTATTTATTAGCGACTTTATGATACATTTTTCGGAATGGAAAAATTGAACTTCTTCTGTTTGAGTAATTTGTGTGACAATTGATGGCCAATCCCGGACAGTGACTGTTTAATTAGTGCATCATTAACTTTTTTGTTTCATGAAGTAATGTCATTTTTACTTTATAGAAAAATCCCTATAGTTATGTGAAAGTTAATGTAGTTTTGTAGTATTGCAGTTGTTTTTAAGAAGAGAGAAGTTCTCACAAAGGACTCTATATTTGTCTAAGTCACCTCTGTGTACAGGTAAAAAGTTAGTTTTTTGTTTACTACAGTGATATATAAAATAAAGCATGCTATTCAGTTTATATGAGAGCTTCAGTTTAGGGTTGTTAAATACATAAAACAATACAAATACAAGTGCATAAAAGTACATTTACAAATGTTTTTAGTCAAAAACTACACATTTATTTAGTTTGTTGCATGAAGCATTTTTACCATTCAAGTTTAATCAGGATCAAGTCAATTCTCTAACTCACAATTTGACACTCTTTTAGATCCTACATCTGTTTCGCAATCTAATATTTCAGACTTTTATTATTGAAGCTGACAAGGCACAGCTGTCTCTGTTGTTCTTGTTTGTTGCTTGACTGGCTTTAATATCCTCTGCCCTCTGATTGTGTGCTATGCATGTGTCCGAGGTGTTAGCCTTAGAAAAAAATGCTTCCAAATGACTTATTGGGGAATAATGAGGCAATTAGTTGGCTCAGAGTGGAAAAACCTTGCTGCTCCCCTCCTTTGTCCGCTGGCCTGTGCCCACTCTGAGAAGTGCGAAATCTTGCGCGTTGTGCCAAGTGCCTGTGAAGCATAATTACAGAGAGAGTGCTTGATTTGGCCTGTCTTCCTCCTCATCTGGTGGCCTGCTGCTTAAAGCACATTCTCCTTTATAATTAGGCGCCTGGAAAACAAGCACACATTCTTGTCCCCGTTTTCCCCAGCCGGCCTGCTGATCGGGTTTGTGAACAAGAGGTGGCGCTGCTCTGCTGTTGGTGAGGGGGCTTTTCTTAAGATGCCTGTTCTGTACAGTAAAAGTGTATGGTGGATAGTATGGGCCAAAACGTATTTTCCTCAACGTATGCAGTAACCAGTTCAAAGGGCCAAACCTCAGTAAATGAAAGCATATTGAAATGGATAATTGATGATTTAAAATATACTTCTTATACACAATATCATAGTCCTTCCAGAGTAGCTTTGTACCCATTAAACATTGTACTTGAAAGAGATGATTACAGTAAGTCTTCAGTGGCCATGGTTGTTCATTTAAAGCTCCATGTTATTAGCTTTCGATCCTAATATACAAATGAACACATACAGCAATGTGGGTTATGCTTCTCAGGAAAACCTTTAAAACGAATACAATAAAACAACAAAATAAAGCAAATAACAGATACATTTTAAATACAGCTTACATCAATTATGATAAAACAAACTTAAAACGGAGCTGCTACTATTTGCCCACCATTGTGACAGCAGATTCAAGTTGATAATATGAGTGTTGGGTGGTCCACTTAGAGCTTTGTGAGCAAATTCAGCTAACTTTAAGAGAGCAGATGCTAATGAGGCCTAGAAAACACGAGCAAGAACAGAGGAAAGTTTGAACACTGAGCCTAAGTCATGTTAAGCTTGAAAGATCTTCTCAGTGGCCTGGTAGTCTTGTGCGGCATGAAAAAAGTGCACGCACTAAGCCACTGAAATGTTTACTTTGTCACCGAGCGACCAGGCCGCTGTAGACCAGAAGCAAATAGCGACCATGTTATTAGACCTGTGAGTGTGTGTACTGCTGAGGCCTGGCACACTGATGGCCTCAAGTGTCCAGGCTCGGGTAACAATGGGTCTGTTTGTTGCCAACTCTCACTGGAGGCTCATTTAGTACATTTTGGTATGCACCCCCAAAATCTGCGCGGAAGTAATAAATTTGGGAAGCAGTAACTAGTTCCCTGATCCGTGCACCTGGTGGGCCTAATTACATTTCCCCATCCCCCGACACCACTGCTCCTGTTCCTGTGCGGTGACTGCGACACGAGGGGCTCCCGTACTCGATAAAGCATTCCTCATAGGAGATGATGTACAGCGCGTGTTGAGATTACACGACATTGGCGTTTAGTTCGATGTAGGACAAATGATGATTGCTGAAATTTGTCCTGAATTCATGAAACTATCGTCCAATGTCAAATGCTGCGAGGGTTCCTCCTTTCATTTATTGTTTTTTTTTTAGGTACTGTTTTATAAATGACATTTATTTATTTATTTAAAGGAGTAATATATTCCTGAAATTGTACCCTGAGATTATGTGACCTGAAGTCCTGAGAGCTGATATCACACCCAGTTCAAGCAAGAGTGTTCGTGTCACTTGGCTTCTCCAGCTTTCCAAAAATGTAGGTTTGAGAACACTGAATACCTGTAATTTAAACATGAACACAGTCAAATTCAAAGATGGTAAATACTAGATATCAGTCTAAAAACAGTGTTAAAAAATGCATATTTAAGATGAAACCGTGTTCGATTAACTGACTATTCTATTGTATGGATTAATCATTTTAGTCATTCTTTCATTCTCCAGCTCTTCCATTGTAACGATTTGCTGTTTTACATCATTGTAAACTGAATACATTTGGGTTTTGGACTGCTAGTCAGACAAAACAAGCAATTGAAGTCATCTTGAGCTCTGAGAAACAAAACATTTTGGGACATTTTATACATTAAACTATTAATCTAGAGTAATTAATGAAATAATAGCCCTAATGCAGTACCATATGTATGCAATGAACAGAAATGAATGTGTTTGTGTATTTACCTGTGTGTTTGTACAGACGAGTCTTTGTAGAGATGTGTGTGTGTGTGACTTGGTGCATGTGTGTAGTTTCAAGTTGCTGTCTCTGCTAAACGTATTTATAATAGATCATTTTAACCTCCCTGCGTTTTTTTCAGTAACCTGCAAGGCAGCTTACACATGGAGCTTGACTCCATTTCATTTCCTCCTCAGAGGTCACATCATAATGAATTACCTGTGCCACCACTCCTGGTAATGTCCCCCGCTGCTCAGAGCCGCCATAAACATGTCACCATAATGCTCACCACTCTGCTCTACCCCACAGTGCATTTGGCCATGAGGGTGGATGGGAGAGCCAGACACTGGTGGAAATGAGAGAGGGAGCTGTGCATCTGGTGTGTGCATGTGTGTGTGTCTGTGTGTGTGTGAGTGAGGGGGTCGTGGAGGGCATTTTGAGAGGGCAGCAGGCGTCACTTCCCCTGTTGCCTTAGGAAGGTTTGTTGTGTGATCGTCCCATGGTTTCCTGTTGCAGGCCGTCATAGGGGCCCTAATGAGAACATGTTATTGCATCATGTTTTCTGCACTCATACACTGCAACGACTGACTCAGCCCGTACACGCTCCTATACACAGGCTTCACATATAGACACCAACAATGGGCAAAGGCAATGCTTCATAACACAAAGTATGTTTGGTGTGAACGGTCATATTAAGGCTAAGGAGGTTTGTTGAAATGAGAAATATATAGGGCCCATTACTTTGGTTTTTGATTTATTTTAAGGGGAAATATAACACGGTTTTTAAACATTCAGAAACATATTTTAAAGAATCTTAATCTAAAACACTGGATGGGAACTTGCATTTCTAAGACTGGGTGTAGTTCCATAAATGTTTTTTTAATTAGTTAAAGGATTTTTTTCTGATCTGCAGCTTTCTTATATTTTATCCTGAATTTTTTCTTCACTTTGCAAAGAGAGAACTCTGTTTGCAGGAAGTGGAAACCTTGCATGGGAAATAATATTTTTAACTAATGTACATTTGCATATATTTCGGTGAACATCTAAAATTGAAGAGCCTTATTATACCTCGCTGTTCAGCTTGTCCCAACTTCCTCTTTATCCGACACCTGACTGGTACATAAACAATCTCTGAGGCTTAAAGGAACTGATTGTTTGCCTCTGGAACAAGTGATGAATAAATGCTCTTTTTTTGTTTCCCAGAAGGCTTTTAGCGGTCGGCCACCAAGGTGGACCACCTGTGTAGTTTGATTAGAGGGGTTCCCATCTCTACTTGAGGCGCCTTCATCCCAGTCCTTGACTGCTGGTGGCCCCAAAAGAATAGCAGAGGCTGCGGGGGACTGGCCCCTGCAGGTCTCCCTCTCCCCAGTCCCCACCTGAGGTGTGTGTGATTTACAGTGTGTGGGAACAGATTGATCCACTGCTGTTTGAGCGCTACGTGAGCAGGCTGCTATTCCACTCCTTGAGGCTCATTAGGGATCTTAGGAGGGATTTCTTCTGCACTCACGCACACACATACCAACACACAGCGCTAAGAATAGTCTCTGCACTGCCTCTGGCTTTTGGCAGGGGAATAGTGCTGTTATGAATGTGTCTTTCGTACTCTGTTTCCATGACTTTGGCTGGAGAGTAAAGAGAGGTGTGCTGTCCTTCTCACTGGGGATAAATCCACTGTTAATGAAACACTTGCTTATGACTGAGGCCTTGAGAGAGCCCTTCTGAGCCTTAGGCGCTGAGGTTTAAGCTGTTCGTAGAGCCTACCTGCCAGTATCATAAAATTCTGTCTCTATTTCATCGACAACCGAGCGGCTTGACCACTGAGTGGATGATGCCCCGTGTCTTTCATCACTCTTGTCTACTTTTCAGTAAGGCTGACATTGGTTTGTTGACTTAGATTTCTGTTAGACCTCTAAAATGTGTGCTTCCTCGTGTACACTTAAATGTGGTTTGGGTTGAGTTTTACTGGTCAACATCATGTTTCACCTCCTTCATGACAGAACTAAGTCAGTAGTTATACTGTTAAAATACAGAGTGCAGTCTGTGCTGTGTTTCCTAGATGGTTGTGTCTGCACTTTAAGCTTTTGTCTACATTCCAACTGGTATAGATTTCTCCTTATGGCTTCCAGATGAAGATGAGTAGATGTATTTGTGATTAACTCAGTTAATCAGTAAGTTAAATTAACTTAAAACAGTTTCGAGAGATCATTTTGACGGATTAACCAGATCAGAAATTAACAAGAATACATAACACATCAACACATTTCCAAATCTGTGAGTCTTGGCTATGCCTGGGCATTTGAAGTTCTCCAATATTGGAGCTATTACCTAAACAATACTTTTGGATACCTTATTTACCTTGGTTTCTATTAAATCCTTTTTTATATATTTAACAAAATAAACTAACTTCTTAACACAAAAACTTTACTTCTAGACTAAATATGACCAGGCATTTAATGCCAGTACTGTTATTGATAATTGATGCATTGATGCAATTGCATCTCATTTGGTGGTCAAAAAGTATGGACACACCTGTCCCCATTACAGTGAGAAATAGATCATCATTTAATGGTGAAATATATCCGAAATCACCACTTAAATCTAATCAGTTCTTTTTTGGCACAAGGTCGTTGTGTCCATCCGAAGTTTAATAGAAATCTGTTTTTAAGTGTTTGGTTCTAACATCCAGATAAACAAACAAACACACAGGAGTGAAAGGCTGTGGAGGTAATCACTGAGTATGACTCAGGGTTTTATTACAGCTCCGGAAAGGTGTTGCTTTACCCCTCTAACCAGGAAAACTTGAATTACACTATTTCCATGTGTTTTGTGTCATTGCCATAATCATCAATTATATCCTGTAGGATTGGACCTTTTTTTGTTTGCTGAACATACAGATTCTTTTACGGCGTTGTAGTATTTAAAATGCAATGTTACAAATAGCCTTAGGTGTAAGTGTTGTGCATAAATGAGGTTGTGGATGGAAACAAGCAATAGTTTTAACCACATGGGGGTAGCAGCCTTTCACAGCTCTGTCAGAGGCAGACAGGGAGGCTCAGCTGGTAAGTGGTAGACACTGTTGTTTTATGGGGCATCTCTCTTCTCCCACATGGACGGCAGTGGGAAGTGAGTGTTTGAAGTCAGGCCCACTTCACCTCAGGGTGTGGAGATTGGCTATTGTTGTACATTTAGCACCGCTGAGCAAGATGAATGTCTGGAGCACAGCATGGGAAAACGCAGTATGTGTCAAGTGTGGTCATGTATGAGCAATGTGGTGTCTGCAAAGCAGCAAAAAGTGCCATGGAAATTCAAAGGAGAGGGCACTTGAGATGTTACGTTCTTCTTGTACATTTTAAATAAAAGCAAGAGTCAGAATATGGTTTATTGCAATTTAACACGGAAGTAGCCTAATCATGCAGTAAAGGGCAATGACTTCAACTAATAGAAAAAAAGTGTACACAGGTCCAATAAGTCCAGAAACTAGCATCACCTTAATAACTGTGGAGTTTGTCCAGAAACACTTAACTAAACAGTGACTATAGTCTAGACAGTGGTACATGACATCATGTTTAATCTAATTGTACTGCACATTTCACAATATCCTGCATTTTGATTATTTTCACTAAATAACTTTAACAACGTTTTTTTGGCTTCATTCGTTGAGTCAGCTGAGCATGCATGCTCTCTGACAGCACAACTCCTCACATTCATACCTGGGACTCACCCCGTTCAACCACAGTCTGCTACCATTTGCCAGTGAGTGCACTGCTCAGGGCCACACGGATGTATGTTTTTTAAGGCAGCAGAGAGCAAAAGTTCAGTCAAGTTTACATCTGTCATCTTCAACAACATTCAAACAGCCAAAGTTCTATTTGTTTTTCACATTTTCTTTTAGAGATGTACAATAACAGATGCATAATGGCCCCTAGTGGGTCCAGATGTGTTCCTTATGATCCAGGAAAAGCCACTTGGCTACCACCACAGAGACCTGGATTCATTCATTCTGCTGCTTCCAGCTTGGCTGGGCACTTGATTGAAAACAATAGGGAGAGTTTGCAGGTGGGAAGCCACTGAGGGATCCATTTCATTGCACTAGTAACTAACTGGTTGGTCGGGATGCTCATTTAGAGAGGGGTTCGATCTGGGGAGATAGTGTAAACAAACTATGCTCTCAGTGAAGCCAAGACCGCAGTACAGGGGGAACTGGCCATCCCAATTTGGGAGAGAAACCGAAAACTGCACCACAGAAAACAAGCACACTGCTAGTCTCAATATTGCCTTATATGACTAGATTTTGATTATGTGCCTAATTCTCTCTCTCTCTCTACCTGTCTCGCCTGCTCAGACACAGACCCCCGTCTTCTGGAGAAGCAGGAGCAGCAGCAGCCGACATATGTTGCCCTCAGCTACATCAACAGGTAAAGAAATGTAACTTTTACTGAGAAAGAAAACTGCAGAATGGTCCCTTATTTATGCATTCACTCAATTATAAGTTCTTCTTCTTAATACATCTGACATAATTATGACATTGATGTTACTAGTTTGGGTTTGGGCCTATAAAGATTTATCTACAGAAGTCCTCTACATCAGTGAGTATTACTACTGTGTCCTATGAAGCGTTTGCTCTTAAGAGCTTCTACCAGCGAATGTCATCTGGTGGATTGCTTAGATAAATTGCTTCAGTGTTTGGTTTTTTTTTTTTATTGGCCTAGGTTCATCCCAGTTGTCTTTGATATGGTGCTTGAATAGTGGTTTTAATGGCAAAAAGCCAGTGTAGAAGAAGGTCTGCCGCTGTCTCCCTGTCTTCACCAACACATCTTGATGTGGTTATTGCTTAATTTGTTAATTCCACTTTTGTTTTTACAATGTCTATGTTAACATTTCATTTATATGATACACATTTACCAAAGACTTTACTATCCATCATAAGCTCTGGTCTTTTTTGATGGCAATAGAGACCAATGATATTTTTTTGTTAATGTGCTCTACAATAGCAAACTACAATAGCAGAACTTTTTAAACATCAGGGCGGTGCCACAGTAACAAGTCACCCACGGTACATCGAATAATAGATTCACCTCTTTTCATAAAAAAAGATGTCAAACCCTGACCCGTCTAATATTCCACGATGCCAGGTTCATGACAGATGCTGCACGGCGAGAACACGAGGCCGTGAAGAAGAAGGTGCAGCCCAAGTTGTCTCTGTCCCTGACAGGCAGTCTGTCTCGCAGCGGTAGTTCCGCTCCGACGCGCCACACCAGTGGAAACCTCACCCCTCCGGTCACCCCACCCATCACACCTTCCTCTTCTTTCCGCAGCAGTACACCCACAGGTACATAACCATCCTTCACACGAATCACCTCTCCAGTCCATTCAACCAGGAGGTCTATTTTCAAGGCAAGCATGAAGTAAATCTGAATCTCTGCCAGCTTACATAGGGCTCTCACCCTCCTACATTATGAAGACAGGCAATGAGGCAAAGAGTCAATGTCCTCTACAGGGATCAAATAGGAATCACAAAGAGTAATGAGGCTGTTCTTCTAGTCTTCTTACTTAAAAAAAGATAATATAGAAAAGATTAAATCGATGTCAAGACACTGGCAGAGAGTACGTCATAGTTTTACCCCTTTATTCACTTTTCAAATACTAGTAGATTCAATATATACTGTGAGTTGTTATGGCTTTAATGGCCAATTAAAATTCAGTTTTGATTGTAGAAAACATGACATGTTGAATTGTTGGTTACTTCAGCATGTTTTCTATTACTTGGTTGATTGATATGCTGTGCACCTCTGTTTGCTATTCCTGTTTTGCTTTTCAACAGCTTTGCAATGCATGCCCATTAGTTTGGCACTATTCATGTCATTAGCAGAAGATCTCAGGAGATATATTTGATAAAGCTTACATTCAAGCTACAGAGAAAAATCAGCTCTCATAGACCAACTGATTGGTCTTATTGTTACAGTGTGCATTACATTACAGTAAAAAAGTTTTCTTGCAATGTTTTCCCATGTACAAATATGCAGTCTTTAGTGTTTTGTCTTGTTTTTAGCTCTTGTGGTTTTGCAGCTCGTCTTCTGGCATCAGATCTTTAATTAATTGACAAAACAATTGCAGATCATTGACCCCAAATACTACATACTGTCTTTCCCACGATTGGCATATTTCAGTCTTTCCAGACACATGGTGCCGTTACACGAAGCAGAGATTATGGGAACACTGCCCCAAAGCACATGTTGAGAACAGTCCATGCTTGTCAGCCTGAAGGCTTAAAGGCCAAGATTTCATCGCCAGAGATTAGTCATGAAGAGCGCATAAATCAGAGCTTCTTGGAGAACAGTTTCTATGATCGCATGTCTGGTAGTGATGCCCTGAGTTAATTACTGTTTGACTTCCTGCCTTCCACCCTCCCACAGGTAGCGAGTGTGATGAGGAGGAGGTAGACTTTGAGGAGTCTGACAGTGACGAGTCGTGGACCACAGAGAGCGCCATCAGCTCCGAGTCCATCCTCAGTTCTATGTGCATGAACGGAGGAGATGAGAAGCCTTTTGCTTGCCCTGTGCCAGGCTGTAAAAAGAGATACAAGGTAGGTTTCACTCAGCATCCCTCTCAACTTAAATAATGCATTGTACAAAGTGTGAAATTTTATTTTCTCACAGAAATGAGGATGTAACATCAAAATGGATTCCCTGCTGTTGACAATAGAAAATCAGTTCTTAGTTGAGCATTACAGCATGTCAACATAGATGCATACATCTAGTCTACTTCAGTGATGTGGAGTTTTACAGGATTTTCCATTCGCATCTGGTGTGTGTGGTTGGGATAAATGATGTGCAGCTTGAGAAAATTGCATTGCTGACGTGAATGACAGGGTTACGGGCGATGACTTAGTCTGAGGCAGCAGCAGGAGTTTGTTTAGGGGCAGAACAAGATAGATTTCTAATAACATTAAATTTCTCCTCTCCTCCTCTTTATATCCTAATATAAATAGACAAATATATATATATATATGTAAGATATATGGTTGAGTGTCATATTCTTTGCTTCATTACAGAATGTGAACGGGATCAAGTATCATGCCAAGAACGGCCATCGAACCCAGATAAGGGTGCGCAAACCCTTCAAGTGCCGGTGTGGGAAGAGTTACAAAACGTCTCAGGGTCTCCGCCACCACACCATCAATTTCCACCCACCCATCTCTACTGAAATCATCCGCAAGATGCAGCAGTAGAGAGAGAGAGAGCGACCAGCACTCTTCTTCAGGCCACTTCCTGAACATCTGAACATCTCCATCACCAGCAATGGCTGTTTCTCATTCCACCCTTTTCACCTCATCCTGAAACCCCCACCCCCTTCTCTTTCTCTCTCTCTCTCTCTCTCTCTCTCTTATCCCACTTTGTTATGACACTATTTTTGATTGCATGATATTATGATTCATCCTTAATTTTTATTCAGAATGTTGAATCTTTATGTAGTTCACAGTTTTGTATTTTGCACATTTAAGATATCATTTATCTATCTGACTTAATTTTTTTTTCATTTGTACATATGGTGCTTGTGATGACGAGGGCATGATGGCCACACCAAGTCACGAGTGGCCTTGCATGTACAGTAGGGCATCCTGCTTTTAAGGCAGCGTGAAATCAGAGGAAACTAGAGGAACAATTCGGATTGGGTTTTTTTTAGAGAAAGGAGACACTGTTACCTTGCCTCCGTCTAATTTGAGCCAAAAAAGTGTGACAGATGCAAATGAAAAAAAAATCTGAATGTGTGTGGTAAACAAGGCTGAAAACGTTTTGTACATGTTTCATTCTCTATCAGATTTTATGTTAATAATCAGTTAATAGACTTAGTTACTTTTCTTTTCATATCACAAGTATTCTATACCCTTTTTCATCTGTTTTACTGCAAACACTTGTGTGTGAGCACCAAAGGATGATCTCAGGAGACGTTTGCAAGCATTTCAGCACCACAATCCTGCCCTAGTGTTCTGACAGTATTTATGCTGTTCTGTGGGATCATGGGAACTCTGTGTCATTGTTCCAAATGTTCCTGGTCACTTTCCTGAAGATTAAATCAGTTTTCCTTGCTATTTTAAAGTGAGGGATTGAAGCACTTTTTGTAACAAGTTGCCAACAAATCAGCATTTCTTTTCGCCAATATCTCGTTTCTGGTGTATGTACAGTAGCTACCAAAACGAGGCAAAAGGCCTTCAGAGCAGATGTTTGCATTGCTCCCAGGGAAGATGTATACCAAACCTCCAGTGTTTCCAGTATTGTGAGATTTCTGTATGTACAGTAGTTGCCTTGAATTGTAAACCATTCCAATTAGTACAGATCTTTGTATGGCTTCATTTTGACAGTTCAGATAAATTCATCTGAATGCAGACAGCTCAGTCCAGACAATATGCTGTTCAACAACTCCCCTGTCTTATGAAACTGTGATTGTCCTGGTAATGGATAGAAAGGGGCCAACATTCGCCATGTATTCAGCACATTTATGTTCTCACAGTCCTGTTTTCAGGCTGTGAGAGAAACACACGTGGCTCCTACTTTGTGCCATAATGATATGTCAGTTGAGGATATGTACCACACCATTTAATCTTTGAAATAATGAACCCCAGATCATAAAATGCCACAGGATTGGGGATTTATCACCATTGAGCCATTAGGTAACATCTTCACTGCATGGATGTTAGTGTTAAAAAACTACAGTCCAATTAAGAATTGTGACAGTATTGTACTGCCAGTATGGAGAAAAGTCTTTGCTATAGTGTACAGTGAATGTATTGTTATGTGTTAAGTGCATTAAATTATATTTTCATATGTTTCTGGAGTAAAAAAAAAAAATAGTATAATGTGTATGAACAGGCAAAATCAGAGGTTGTTTGGAGAAACTAATGGTGACGTACTGTATTTCTTCAAAAAGCTGCTTCATGTAAACTTTTATTACATTTAGAATAAAAATTCCTCTGACATGTGCCTAAAGACTGCTTTATTAACTGCGCTTCAACACAACTCAGTTTCAAACGGACTTTATTAGTTCATATTAGATACATGAAACTCACTTAACAAATGAAACATTTCTATGAAGGAAATAACTTAATGCTGTAAAAGTGAAGAACAAAAGGAGGAAATTGAACATAAGCTCAGCATGCACAGATTAGCTGATGATATGAAAGATCTTAAGAATTCGGACACTAAAACCCAATTAAATAACTGAAATCAAAACAAAGGAAACCTAACATAACACAAATCTATCATACACAAAGTATCAAGGCTTTCACAATATCATTGGCTTTAATTATTCTAAAATAGATGATCTGATGATATACTGTATAATCATGTCTGAATGTAATCACTGAAGATTTCTCCCTGACTGCATATAGTGCACCAAGGCTGCTTTCTATAAAGAATGACAAAATGTACAGTGATGTTTAAGGGGCGAACCATTTGGCTGGATGTCTTAAATGTAAGTTTGGTAAACACTTATCTCTTTCCCTGATTCGTTACGTCCTGTAGTCTAACAGATCAGTGACAGCCAAGTCAATTTAAAGTCGGTATATATACGTACAACAGTCTTATCCTCCTAAATTATTCTCCAAATCCAAATGAAGGGAAATCTTTCATCTTTAAAAAACTGTTGCAGACAGATTCAGTAGCCCTGCCATATACACTGAATTAGAATGTCATTTCAAAATGTCACATCACTTCAAAGTGTTTCTCTAAGTTGAAGTAACAAAGCGAAAGTCAGTATAGTCCTAAAGAGTGGATCTTCACACCATTACATGCAGAAAAGAGTGCAGAGGGATTTATTTCAGTTGTGACAGGAAGTAGGCAGAGCGGATGTGCTGATTTTCTGTTTCTTTAGTCGAAGTTGAGCGGGTGGCCGTCGAAGTGAGTGAGCACGTGATTCTCGAACACCTTCTGGTCGCAGTCCAGCGGGAACTGCTCACTGCACATGGGGCAGATTTTCCAGTGGCTCTCCACATGCTCTTCAAACTTGCTCTGGTCATAGTTGGGCGGGAAGATGACCTCACACAGCGGACACCGCTTCATGTCCATGCTGCTCACGGGGAGAGGACAGGAGAAGAGAATGGCAGGGAGAGAAAGCTCATGTTAATAAGCAGTGAAGTGATGATGTGGGCGAACCAGGAGCGCAGGCTAATAAAGAGCATCTGTCTGATGCAACGTGGGTGGCCTGCCGCTTGACTAATGCCAACAAAAGGGGGCTGTGTGGCAGAACAAACACTTTACACATGTTACAATGCACAGGTTTAGAAAAATGTAGGGTGTAGCAAACTTGCACGGCATTTATGAGAGTTTGGGCAAGTGAGGGTGTGTTACCTGGGATCAAAGCAGAAGGCAGTTTGTCCGTCGTTCACAAATGGGCTGTGAGTTTCAGTTGCTGTGGGCTGTTCGTTGGTATTACCCTGAGAAATAAAGGTAAAAATAAATTTTAAAAAAGGGTAAATCCACTCAAATTTGTGAATATTTAACACAAAGAAAAAAAAGACTGGGAGAGAAACGAGACAGCGCAGTCTGAGAGGCTTACATTGTTGTTGTTTTGCTTTTCCTCTGACTCCTCGTGGCCTTCTGGCCGGCTGTGGTTGCGGGTGGGTTGGATACACACCACATTACTGTCCCAGGAGGGCGGGCCCACAGGGGGCAGCCTAAGCAGCTGGTCATCTGAGAACTCCTCATCTCCTTCATCTGCAGGAAGAGGATTCATAGACAGAGCTACAGTTAATACAAGTCAGTTATTCCCGCAAATGTTACTTATTTCAACAAACTATGTGTTATTTTCTGAAAATGAAACCAACCTTTTGAGTCTGAACTGGAATAAGGGTTGCCAAAATGCAGCTTGCTGGGGCTCTGAGAGACCAGCAGAGGGGTGGGGGCATCCTGTGTGTAAGGGACAGGGTACTGCAGGAACAAAGGCACACTGGACTGGTTACTCTCCAAACTGGTTTTCTCACTGCCCCCCTGATCTCCCTTCCTGCTGCCCTTCTGCAACTCCTGGGGGGGAAAACAGCAGTATTTGATTTTTTTTTCACAACAACAAAGGCCAATAGCTAAAGTAAATGGCATCAACATGTTTTCTGTGGAGCTACATATCTGGTTGCATCTCCCAGTCTGTCGAGGCAAGTAATACATCACCACTTACAATCGCACAGCAGCTCCTGAGCTGTGACTTTTCTCTCGCTCACACAAACAGTTTAATTAGTGCCTTCATTAAAAAAGAAACTCTTCTTATTTTCAAAGGGAATGGGACGCTGTGTTTTATTGATGTTAGTTGCAGACGCCAATTTAATTTACAGTCTAAACCTCAAATTGGGTCATTCTGCTCCTCTTAGCTGTAACAGCATTACCTCGAAGCAATATTTTAGGCCAGTGAGGACCTTGCTGTGGTCCAAAGTAATGGAATGGAAAATAAGAACTCATTTACTTTGCTTCTACAATTAGAGGCATATTAAACACAGACCAGATTGGGAGAGGGAAAATGGCAGAGGAATAGCAGTTTTCAGGGAATTTTTAGAGTGGAAGAAGTCTATAAAAGAGAAAATGAAAGCTGTCACTAACCCCCTCCAGTTTTTCCTTCTCCTTAACAACAAGCGCTAGTGTATCCTTCAGTTCCTTCAGCTCCCGTCCCTTCTCAGCTACCTGGCCCTGAAGTACACAAAAAACACAAAAACAGAAGAATGAAGAGATATTTTCAACTCTTTCAACTTTTCTAACATCTGATATGTGCAGCCGATTGAAAACTGCATCACTGAAATACTCTTAGACCTCAGTGCGTGACATTAATTGATCACAACCATAAAAGGCTTCACTTTGCAGAGGACTGATTTATGTACAATACCGCTCAAAGCAAAACAACCTGTTTGAATTCCTCTGAGACACTAAGCAAATATCCGCCTGACCTGAGCCAAGCACAGCATTAGCTTGGCAACTGGAGATGACTCCTCGGAGCCTGACATAAATAGCAGTAAAATGTCGTCTCACAGATAGGCCTGCTCATAAACAACACTGTCAGAGCGACTGTGTTCAAGGGGAAGATAGCATCAAAGGTTCAATCCCTGAGCTAGACCAGCCATACCCAGCGGTAAAAACACACAAAGTGTCCAGAGACAGACCTGCTTCAAAAAGCAGCAGAGCATCACTGGCAGCGAATGGCCTGAGCACAGTGCTGTCTGTATTCCGATGAACTGACCTTGTAGCGATCTTCCTCTGCTGCCAACTGCAGTTTCAGGTTCTCGTTGGTCTTCAGCTGTTCTTTAAATTTCACCTCCATCTTGGCCAACTCATCAGCAAACATGCAGCTCCGATCCTTCTCCTCCTAAAGAGCCGCCAGACATTAACCAATTGTTTTATCATATCCCTCCCTTCACGGTGCACAGAGCACAGAAAGGATATCATACCTTTGGAGACTGTATGTCTTTGACAACCGAGTTTGACCATCTAACTTGGGTACACATGGCCAATAAAAGGATGCTAATAATACATTTCTTACCACCAGCATCTGCTTGCATTTCCTGTACTTGTCATTCCTGTCAGACGCCTCTCTGCTGATGCCTTTGAGCTTCTCCTGGATGATGGCTTCCAGCATGGGATCAGCAGACCCTGGACTCCCTGTGAAGACGATGAAGGCAAGTCAGACATTTAGCTGAGGCAAAAAGCTATTTTATCAGTTCAACTGTTCATTAAAATGACAAATACACTTAAATGTGGCATGTTATTACAGCCCACCCACACACCAGTATGTCAAAGAGCAGTGTCCAAAATAAAACTAGTTTGATTGACTGATTTCTAAGAGAAAAAACAGAAAACACAAGGCAACCACCTAAGAAATGACACTGCTGGTAAACTTACACATTATCAACTTCCCTAATTTTGATTACTGAATACAGTTTTGAGTGCAATTACTCATTCTATAACTTACAATTTGGCACAGTTAGATGTAACATACCTGGAACTGATGTGTCTGGACTCACTGATGCAGGGATTATTGTGGCCTCTTGTGCTGAGCTTCTCTTCAGTTCCTGCAGACAGAAAAAAGTGTTAGCTCTAAATGCAACTAGAAAGAGACAGTAAACTGGTGCATGCATAAGCTGGATACACACAATTGTATTTATTTCAATTATTAGAGTGTATTTAATTAAGTTTGCATATTCATTTTACAAAGAGACATTAAAATGTGCATGCGCTAGTGTCTAGCACGTTGAATGCCAGTCAAAAAATTAGCAACACAGACACAAGGAGTGGCCATTTGGTGAGATGAGATAGGCAGGCATAGTTTGACTGAAATCTAATTCGAGTTCTGTTCTTTCACTTGTGCAGGACAAGTATACAGTATGTCGGCTGGTATCTGCTGGGACCTACCCCTTGCTGCTCAGAGAGTCTAAGCACTTGTTTTTGCAGTCGCTGACATTCCTTGTATTTCTCCTTGTAGTGTTCCGCAGCCATGTGCAGCCGCAGCTTCAGGTCCTCCACCTCTCTCTGAAGCTCTGCTGCAACCGCTGGGTCAGCAGCTTCTTCTTCTTCTGATTTGGCCTGGTGACAAAATATATAAAACAGAACATATCAAACACAGTAATGGGCCAACAGTGA